TAAAAGAAAAGAAGGTATATAAACTAAAGTAAAGGAAGAAGCAAAGGTAAAGTAAAAACTTATTATATAAGTAAGTAACTATTTAAAAACAACTAAACAGGGAGGTATATACAAAAGAATAGATTTAATTAGCTTAGTAAGTATTACCTTATATTTACTCTTAGAAAGGTATATTTAGAGTTTATTTTTATTTAAATAACTTTATATACAACAGTAGGCTACTAAAAGTAAAGTTATTATAAGAACTAATTAGGACTATCTAATTAGTTAACGCAAAGGTATATATAATTATAAAAGAAGAAAGTAAGTATTAGAATATTAATACTAATAATTATATAACACCTAGTTAGTTAACTATAAATAGTTTATAATTTAAGGTTAAAGGGCATAGACTAGTTATTTAGCCCTTAGTTATATTAAGAGGGGATTATACTTTTAGTTAGCTAGAATAACTTAAGTTATACTTAAGCAGTATATAACTGCTTTATACAATAATAGTAGAGTAGACCTATTTAGTCACCTAATAAGAAGTTAATTTACCTCTACGTTTTACTAAGTACATGTATATATAAAGCCTATTTAACACTATATTTATAACTAGGCTAAATATAACCTATAGTGTATCCTTTACTTCTTATTACCTTTATAACCCTATAGAATTCCTACTTAAGTAAAGAAAAAGTATATTAAGATATTTAAAAGAGACTATTAATTATAATATTACCTATAAAGGTAATATAAATAATAATAGCTTAATACCTTAACCTAGTAGGATATACTAATTCTAACTAGGTAAGTTATAAAAAACTAGAAAATCTACTTCTAGTTATTTTTACTTTACTTAGAGGGCCTATTAGTTAGAAGTTAAAAAAATAGTTAACTATCTCTTTATCTACTACTAAGCTAAATTTAATAGCCTATAGAAGCTATTAGAGAGGTAGTCTAGTTAAAGGCTTATTATCTAAAATAGGGTATAATATAACCCTATTACTATTAAAACAGATAATAATATAGCCTTAAGCTTAGCCTATAACCCTAAATATTATTAAAGGACTAAGTATACTGCCTTATATTACTATTATACTTGTTAAGAGGTTAAAAAAGGCAATATAGAAGTAGAATATATACCTACTTCTTCTATGCTACTAATAGCTTAATAAAACCCCTTTCTAGGTTAAATTTTAAGAATTTATTAAGCTAATAGGCTTATATAATAAAATAATCCTATATAATATACCTATATATTAGTATATTTTTCTAATATTTTAGGATTTTTTTAATAAGTTATTATACTTATTAAGATATCTCTAGATATTATATTCTATCTAGGGTACTTTTTATTACTTATTTTACTCTATAATAAAGTAAAAGAGGGAGTATTAGAAGTATAAGAACTAAGAGTATCTCTTATACTCTTAATACTTCTTTATCTTAATTTCCTCTATTATAGAGGTTATATATATAAAGATATATATATTTATAATCTACTAACTTAGTAGATTAATATATATATTAATTACGTAAGTATATCTAATTATGTAATTACTAGAAGATAGAGAAGGTACTAGAATATCTAAGAAACCTCTCTTAACACTATCTCTTTAACAAGGTTACTGCTTTAAGTTAGGGTTATTTAACTAGGGTTAACAAGTTATATAATCTTAGTTAATTTCTAAGTAGCTTATATAAGTATAGAATATTCTAGTAAGCTAGATATGTCTATATAAGGCTAGATTTCTTCTTATTTCTAGTTTATCTTATTTTCTCTCTAAGTAAGTAGAAATAGAACAGTTAGTAATAAAAAATAAGACTAACTATTATACTCTCTTTATATTATATTCTTATATCTCTATATTACCCTATTATCCTATATTCTTGCTTCTATAGGATATATCTTTATATAAGAGATATACTCTCTTATATACTCTTAGGCTATTATTTTCTCTAAGAGATCTAAGCCTACCTATTGTACTAATATTAATTAATAGCCTTAATTAAGGGCTTTATAATAGTATTTCTTTTTCTTTTTTTATATAATAACTATAAATTTATATTACTACTATAATATAAGTATTACTTTTATTATTATTTACTATATATTACTAGTCTTTTTTTATTTATATTAATAGGGGTATAAATAGGTAATTTTATAGTATAACCTCTGTGGCCCTCTAGCTATTTATCTTATCCTTTATAATATAATGTTATAACTTATATTATAAAGGACCTTATAATATTAAAGAGCTAGCTATAAGTGTTATTAGTAGTAATAGTAATAATATATAACTATTATTATTATTATTACTCCTAGGTATACTAACTAATTTTTTACTTAATATAACTAAATTAATGTCCTTGTTAACAGGGTTATTAATGTCTATAAAGATCTTAGGGTTAAATTCTAGCCCTATTGCCTCTATAGCTATATTAGCTAATACCTAATTAATATTACCTTATCTAAGAGGTCTTACTATATACTTAAATTAGTTAAGTATATACTATAGTAGAGAAGCTAGGTTAAAGTTAATAGTAAATTTCTTTTTACCTTTAGTATTATTATTATACTACTATAGATCTAAAGAGTTAAATAGAATATATAGTTAATCTTCTTTAGTATAGACTAGCTACTGTTTAAAGGTTAATTACTTTATTTATTTATTTACCTCTTTATACTTAGTAGTACTATATTACTACTAGACTTCTTTTTCTTACTTATAGGCTATCTTTTTTACTACTGCTTATTAGCACTATATTTCTACTTATATTACCTTTATAACTTACTTATTATATACCTTCTTTATATCTATAATAGTAACACTAGTTATAAAGGAGTATTATAGTTTAATAGCTTACTAGTACTAGCTTTTTTATTACTATATTTCTAGTTTAGTATTTTAGTCCTTAAGGTGTTACTACTAGTACTTATAAGTAAAAAATCTCTTATAAATTACTTACTTTACTACTTTAAATCCTCTCTTTAAAGGACTACTTTATATACTACTATATTTCTTTTCTATATAGTTAGTAGTAAGAATTACTTTATTAAAGTAGTTATTATATAGTAAATAATAAATAAGATATAATAGTATATCTTTATTACTTTATTATATTTTTTTAACTAGTTAGCTAAGTATAATATTATTATATATAGGCTATATACTTACCTTCTTAAAACCTTTTATAATATAGGCAGTAGTAAAGGCCTCTTTAACTATAGTATTAAGGGTAGTAATAAAGTTACCTTTTATAAATATAAGGTTACCTTTTTATATATACCTATAGAGTATTATCTATTAGGCCTTCTTAAAGTATTAGAAGACTTCTATATCTATTAGTTAAAGAAAGTATATTATATAAGGTAAAAAAAAAGTAAAGATAATATTAAAGTTAATATAATATTCTATAAGCTTTAGACTTATATAGCCTATAAATTTATTAAGAAAAAAAAGTAATATAGCTACTTTAACTTTTCTATAGTATCTTAATAGTTATAATACTTTACCTTTTGTTTACTTAGTTAACTATTAAGTAAATATAAATTATAGGTATTATAACTATATATATTAATATTAAAATAGTCCTTAAAGAAGTAGCTTATTTAGTAATACTTTATTAACCTTATATATAACTCTATATTAAAGTACTATATATAGTTTATTATAATCTTTTAGTTAAAGAAGCTAGTTAGTAAATATATAAAGTAAATACCTTTTTAGACTTAGTAATTTACCTAAGTAGTAACTAGCTATATTTTAAAGATTATATATACTAAGATAGTATTACTAAATATATTACTAAACTTAACTAAAGTATATAACTTTTAATTAGCTAGATTTATAACTTTAGGTAAATAGTTATATTTTAGTAGCTACTTAAGGATAATTATATATAGCTAGCTACTAAGGTAGTTAATCTAGTACCTAGATTTATTAGTATTCTATATCTTAAATAAGCTAATATTATACTTATAAAAGGTAGCCTAGTACTAGGTAAAAAAGTCCTTTATTAAGGCTAAGTCTAACTTAGCCTCCTTTTAGTATAACTTAACTAGTTTAATAGTACCTTTTTTCTAAAGCTTTAGATAGTTAGTAAGCTAGCTCTAAATAAAGTACTTAAAGACTAGTAATTAACCTTAGATACTATAAAGGTAGTTAGCTATTTCTTTAACCTAGAGTAGTAAGGCTAAAAAGCTAGATTTATAGAGCTATATAATAAAGGCACTAAGAGCTATATCTTTAGCCTCTATAAGTAACTAGGGCTAGCTAGGCTTATCTAGGCTAACGTAGAGGTTATAGCCTTCTTAAAAGGCCTATAGGTACTTCTAAATTACTATATAAAATATATTATAATCTTAGGTAGCCTAGTGTATAGAGAGTATATTAGTTACTAGCTTATTTACTTATTTATAAGTTACTTATTAATAAGTAATATATAGTATCTTAGTTACTTTTTTAGTAGTAGTTATATTTTTATTATATTAGTAAAGTATATTAAAAGGTTAAAGTAAAGTAAATAGTTTAGTTATTATTAATATTTATTAATAATATATTTAAATAATTACTTATTTTTAGTAAGAATATAATAAAAAGTAGGACTAGGTTAGGACAAGTAGTAACCTTATTTTCCTAGTAGTAACTCTATTTTTTTGCCCCCTCTGTGAGGAGGGGGTGTTTAGCTTTGACGAAGGCTGACTAATACCCTTGGGTATTTACTAGCCCAGGATCCCTCTGCAGAAGGGATCTTGGGCAAAACAACGTCCCTCTTTGACAGTGCGAATCCCTTATCTTAAGCCTGTAAATCAGTGTTTTTTTCCCAAGAATACACATGAAGTTAGAGATACTAGGTGATAACTGTGTGGGGAGGTGCGGGGTTGAGTCGTAAGGTAGTGAGGGAGGGGGCAGGGGTTCAGTGAAGGTGGGTACGCGTGTGACTAAGGGCGAGAGCGCAGCCTTGTCAAAGGGTAGAGGGGGGAGGTGTAGGTAGTGTGTAGTGTTAGAGAGATGCACAAGGAGGACCCTGGCTGGCCGACAGTCGGGGGTAACCCACGAAGGTGCTAGATTAACCCACAGGGCCCTCTGACTAGGCCAGCAGTGCTGAGCTTAAGTTGTGAGGTAGCCCTGCGTTTGGCGAATACGACGTATCTACTGGCGCTATCTCCCACCGCACTATCACTAACACACACCACGATATGTTCTGCCCCGGTATCAGCCAACTTGAGGACGGTCGAATCATCATTTCAGGTGGCTCTGGTGCCGAGGTTACTAGCATCTACGACCCCGTCACCAACAACTTTACCCGCGGCCCAGACCTAAAGCTTCCCCGCGGCTACCAGACGACATGCACCCTCTCCACCGGCGAGGTCTTCACTATCGGCGGTGCCTATTCAGGCAATCGCGTAGCTAAGAACGGTGAAGTCTATGACCCTATCACCAACACATGGACCTACCTCCCTGGTGCCGACGTCAGCCCTATAGTAACTACAAATAGTGGGGGTTACGAAGGCGACCATGCCTGGCTCTTTGGATGGAAGAATGGCAGCATCTTCCAGGCTGGCCCCAGCAAGAACCAACATTGGTACAGCATAGCAGGCAGCGGCTCCGTCAGCATGGCGGGCACCCGAGATACTGATGACGCTATGTGCGGCATCTGGGTTATGTATGACGCTGTTGCCGGTAAGATTCTCTCAGCCGGCGGCAGCCCTCTCTACACAAACAGCGACGCCAACCAGCGTACACACATCACCACTATTAACGAACCTGGAGCCCCGTCTGTAGTGGAGCGCGTTGCTGATTTGGCATGACCCCGCGGTTTCGCCAAAGCCGTGGTACTCCCCGACGGGCAGGTCCTCGTTACAGGCGGCCAACGCAAGTCGTTAATCTTCAAGGACACAGATAGTATCCTTGTAGCTGAACTGTTCAACCCGATAACTAAGCAGTGGAAGCAGATGGCCTCTATGACTGTTCCGCCTAACTATCACTCTATATCGATTCTCTTGCCTGACGCAACTGTCTTTGCAGGTGGTGGCGGCATGTGCTGGATTGCAAACATTGCTGACTCGACTGCTGGCTGAGACACAACGGTTGACCACTCGGATGGCGAGATCTTTGAGCCCCCTTACTTGTTTAATGCGGATGGCAGTTACGCTGCGCGGCCTACAGTCTCAGCCCTTAGCACTGGGCCCTTCAAGGCCGGTGCCAGGCTTACGTTCACTGTGGAAGGTGTCGTAGGTCTGGCTCAGGTATCGCTAATCCGTACCGGCAGCGTTACCCACTCAGTCAACAGCGACCAGCGTCGTGTCCCACTAGATAACGTCGAAATTAATGGCAAGGAGTACTCGCCTAGGCTACCTAATGACTACGGCATCCTCACCCCTGGATACTACTACCTCTTTGTGACCACGCCGCAGGGAACACCTAGTATTGCAAAGACAGTGCATATCATCTTGTAAATAACATACTAAACATAAAGGACAACTAGCTTAAAGTCACATCATGAGTATATTTCTAATATAATACCTTACCCTACAACTGTCATGGGTGCTGGTATGTAGGGCCTATTCATAAGTAGGGTAGGGTAGTTATCAAAGGTCTAGATTGTCTATCTTATATAGCTTTAGCTAGAAGCAGGTGTGCATCATAGTCTATGTACCTTGTGCTACACTAGTAGTAAATCTAATGTAACAGCTAATCTCCTGTCTTAATGCTCTTAGAGCACTAACCAGGCACACACACTCCACTATGATCACAGTTCTTTATCTTTGTCAGTGTTAATGTCTAAAGAGGTCTAGGGAGCAACTTACTCTTATAAAATTGTTCACTGCTGAGCTGCTAACCAAGCACCCCGCTAGATGTGATACAAAACGCCCATCTATAGATGCCATTTTGCATGTAGCACTAGTATCTCTAGCGTCAAAACCGTTTCTTCCTGGAGCAAAGCATCTAGTAGGTATTAGTATATATATATATATATAGATAATTATGATAGGTTGTTGTTAATCTTACCTGCATAAGATTCCTCCTCTTTTCTCTAAGGACGTTTCTATAGACCGTTCAGGGAGTACAACTCCAAGAGCACCTTGAGAGATCAGAGAGATCAGTGCTACTAAGGCAGTAATCTTCATTTTAGTAAAATAAAGAGTAGCAAGAGAATTAACTAGAAAATGATAGGAAAGAGGGTAATGTAGAAAAATAGTGTGTGGTTTGAATCAATTGTTTAAAGGATATTACAGCGTATTAATAGTTTTTAGACTGTCTAGAGGGCTACTTATACCTCAAATATAAGTATAATCTATTTTCTAGGTCTAATAAAAGTTAATAAGACCTTTAATATCTAGATTTACTAGCACTATATTGTAATTAGTTAATACTTATTTATGTAGTGTAGCCCCTAGGAGGGCTCCATAGGTAACAGGTGTCAAAGCGTAGAATAATTAACTACAGCGTTATGGAGTACAGCCCAACCAGTTAGTCCCTGGCCCACGTAACTATACAGAGCAGAACAGGGGATAATTATGCAGTGCATTATTACTAAAGCTTTTGCTTTGTGCTAGAGTTGGTTGCCCTGACCCCCTTGTGACACACGGCCCAGTGAATGCCGACAGGCCAGGTAGGGCAAATATTGGTAGCATTAATTAAATAGATATTACATCTAAATAATAGAGAAAATATAACGTGTGTATTTACCTCTTATACATAAAGGAATAGGGGAAATAGTTACAGTTATATATTATATAATTCAATAAGGGTTAATGCTGTATATTGCACTTTAATAACAGGTAGGCCTAACTGTGATTAATTAAGCTATATTGTACTGTAGGTAGTAAACCTCCCCTCTACTCCTAGTCACAATAGATAAATCTACCCTTAAGCTTACTTCTACTAAAAACACTCTAGATTTTAATATTATAATTAGTTGTCACCGCTACTACCGCCGTATCTATTACTTTTAACTCAAGACACAAGGTTTTAAACAACATTAGCACACAGTAGTAGCTAAACTTAGAGGCTTATTTCACTAGTTTTATAGACTACTTACTATTACTGCTACCTACTAGTCTACTACTACTTATACTGTCTATAACCTATATAAAAGATACCCTTTTTGCTGTAAATCTACGATTACTTATGGACGCCTAGAATGCCTAATATTAGGCCCTAATGTTTAAAGAGTGCTAGCTATAACCCTAAACATTTACTCTTTTTGTATTCCTTAGGAGTCGCTAGGCTGCAGTCAATGCCTCTACGCTTTGACATACTATTAGGTAGTATGTATTCTAATATACAGAGGGCTAGAATAAGTAGCGACCTTATAGGCTAGCTAAGATAGGCAGCAAGTCTAATAAGAAACTCTTAATATACCCTGTACTTCTCTAACGTACACGCATAGCGAGTCGGCCATTATAGCAAGCCGCCTACCTTAAGAAAAGTGGGAAATTCCTAGCCGTGCTGCACGCGAAAACACTGTTAGGGAATTGTTAAGGCCCCTTGCTAATTATGTAACAGTGTTATTAGGTGCAGCCCAGCCAGAAATACCCTACTTTCCTTAAGGTAGGCGACTTACTATAATAGGTAACTTGTAATATATATACGTTGGAGATAGTATAAAGAAGCAATATACAGGATGTAGAGTATTTTAATTTACTTATAATCTAATTTAATTACTCTACTTTAAGAGAAGTGCTTATATAGCCTCTTTACTAGTAATATAACTGTTTAATATAAGTTACCTAAAAGAACTACTTAAAAGTACAGGGGTTATATATAATTTTATATAATAATCTTATTAATAGCTATTTTGTATCTTTAACTCCTTTTCATGATTTTCTTTACCTTATATAGAGACGACCTGGCGTTAAATACAATAATAACAACAATAATAACTATTAAACAAGTTATATTTTCCTTTAAATATCTTTGGCTTGTATTTAAGATGAAGATCTTAGCGCTTTTTATTATCACGGCCTCTGTATTATCTGTTGAGGCTGCTAACGACTGGATGTGCTGGTATGTATATATGCCTACTTTATTATACATAAGCTAATTCTGCTTAGGTGTACTGTCAGTAGGCACTATAATCCAGACGCCACAAGAGCCGCGTGTGCCTCTCCAACGATTAAGGGCATAATGACACACGGCGGCAATAACCAGTACTATTGCTTAATTGAGCAAAGTCAGCCGCTGGAGAATATGAAAAAGGTAAGAAGCATATACTAAAATCTTAAAAATTACCTTTTACTAATGTTTAATAGATTTGTAGACGGGTGCACCCACTTGGGCAGGGGGACTGTGTTACAGCCTAGCGTAAAAAATATCTAGTCTATAGGGATCTATAGTCCTGCTGTGTTTGGGTCATGATAGCTGCTCCTGCGTGTCACCATGGCGAAGAGAGATCACGGGAAATGGCAGTACAGACGTTTTTTCGAGTTCTCAGCTAGCCTTCATAATACTTTCCGAGTAGCGCGCCCTTAATCTGCGTCAACTACACACTCCCATTAGAGACCCTTTTTGTTGAAAACTCAATGCGGGCATTCACAGTGAAGACAAGCCAACCCCAATTACGGCCACAGCTAGGTGCTTGTTTTAGAGGAGGATTACGTGCTTTGTTACGTGGCCTCCCTCCTCTCCCCCCCCCTGTATGTAGCCCCAACCCTACCTAAGCGGTCTGGTTTACTAGGTCTACTGTAGTACTACGTATAATATTTCAAGAAGAATTAGCCTATTACTAAAACAAACTAGAGTGTTATTAAATTAGATTACCTCTGCTAAGATTATGTATGCCAAAGGGAAAACCCCCCAAGGATTATTATTCAACTACATAGACGAAATTTTTATCCCTCATATGTGTTAGGCCAATTAATCATGAGTGAGGCAAAGACAGAGAACGTCGACAGGGACAACCGGGCTGCAAAAGACCAAGTCTTCCTTCTCCTTAACAGACTGTTGCTACAGGAAACGGCTGGGCACAGGCGTTCCAAAGCCTTGTGCTATGAAGACATACTAATGACCATTGTTGGGACTAGTGTACTCGCATCAGGAGATTTTGGAGACGAGCCTCGGGCGCAATAGAAAGCTTAGACACTACTACCGCTGCACGCAGGCCTAACCTATACCAGTCACTCAACTGTAACCTTAGCCAGTTACCAGTACCACGACCCTAGGCCGTAGTCTTTAGTGCGGGACTAGTAAACATAATAACATTATGGCCACGTTCCTGGGGTAGCGGTTAACAGGCAGACATATTGCGGGGCTAGCATCTGTGCGCATGTGTACCTCAGGGACTTTTGCCCTGGCGGCCACCTATTTCTCCTGAAGTCAGCATTAAACCTAATAAGGCAGTATAGGGGGCATACTAGGGGGGCTAGCACAGATGTACCTATATCTATACCTATATATAAATATTTTACTTACCTACTATATTAACTATTATTTTTTTTCTCCTTTATATTACTACTATTTATTTTTTTATTAATAGTAAGGTTTATATTTTTATTTTTTACTAAGTTATTTACTATAATATTAAAAAGTATAAATTAATTATTATAGCTAACTAAAGTACTTTACTATTAATTATTAAGTATAAGACCTACTAGCTAAGTAATAGCCTTTTTTACTTATATTATATACTAAGTAAAGTAATTAGGTTACTTATTATAATAGGCCTTCTTTTATTAATAGTATTAATTTAATAAAACCTTTATATAACTTTAAATAGTAAGCCTAGAGAGAATAAGAATACCTTTATAGTTAGCTATATATAGTATATAGTATACCTTATAAGCCTTATATATCTTATACTTAGCTTTACCTTAGCTTTATATCTATTACTACTAGTAAGCACCTATAATATTATCTTTAGTTATAGCCTATTAAAGAATATATTAGTAAAGTAAAATCTACTACTTATAAAAGCTATAGTTATATACTAGCCTATTATTACTTACTTATATATTATAATATAAATCTAAACTATTAGTAATAGTTACTTTTACTTTATAAAGTTTACTAGTAATTAACTTTTATATAAGTATAGGTAAATAAAAAAGATAAAGTAAGACTTATTATTTATAAAGGACTTTACTATAAAAGTTTATAAAGTATAGCTTAGTAGTAGTAAAGTATTTACTATTAATATAGTTAATATACTTAATAGCCTTTTAGAGGCTAAATTACTAGAGTATATAATAGTAGCTATACTTAATAACGCTATAAAGGCCTTTAAGTAAGTTAGTTATTTTAGCCTAGAGTAGTAGTAGTAAATAGTTATAGGTATAGTTAGCCTAAAGGTTAAGTATTAGTAGCTAGTTATTTTTAATATAGGTAGCTTCCTTATATATTAAACTTTTTATTATAGTAGTAATAAATTTATAATAACCTAGCCTTATATAGTAATATTTTAATATAGAGATTATATAGTATAGGCTAGTTAAGTATTTTATAAGATAATAGTAAAAGGTTCTTTTATAGTAAATATAGTAAAAGAAGTATAATACTTTTATTTTACTATTTATAAGGCTATAAAAAGTATTATATATAGTGTATTATTTAATAGCTAAATTATTAGTAAAAAAGTAATATAACTACTAGTTAGCTTAGCCTTTTAATATATATAAGTAAGTAGTAATAATATTAGTATTACTTTTTTTAGTAAGAAAATAACTAACTAGTATTTAGCTACCTATAGTATTTTTTACTATAACTATATAAAGTAGCTAGCTAAGCTAATTAGTTTAGTAAGTAGTATTTATTATAGTAAAAAGGCTATATTACTATAATAATATAAAGTTAGCTTTAGAGGCCTATATAAGCCTTTTATTTACTTTATTAGTATATTAAACTATATAATACTAAAATTAAAGGTTATAAGTATAATAATAAGCCTTAGCTTTAGTAACTTATAAGTACTATAAATAGTTATAGCTAATAAAGCAAAGGTTAAAGTAAATAGCTAGCTAGTAGTAGCCTATATTATATATAGCCTAGTAAAAAAGCTAATAGCTACCTATAGTTACTAGTGCTTACTTAATAGCCTTATAGTAGCTAAAGTAGCCTTAGAGTATATAGTAGACTTTAGTAAGTAAATAACTAAAAGTAACTTACTTAGTAGTAAGGTCTTTAATACTCTATAGTAAGTAAATTTAATTAAGGCGTTTAAGTAAGTAGTTATAAAGGCCTAGGCTAACTTATAAAATAACTACTATTATAGTAAAGTTACTTATTTATTATTTAATAACTTTAATATATATAAGGTAACTAGTGCTTATTTATATAGTATAGTTATAGGTTATTATAGTCTTACTGCCTTAAGGCTTATTAGCTTTAGTTAACTAAAGTAGGCAGTAATAGTAAGTAGTAGTAGTACTACTAAAGGTATAGCTTTAAGCTTTAGTTAAATTAAAGAAATTACTAATAAAAGCCTATATTTATTTAAATTTAGTAGTATTTACTTTTATAGGCTTAGTAAAGTAAAAGTATTACTTATAGTAAGTAGTAAGGTTATTAAGTATAATAATAAAGTTAGCCTAGGTCTTAGAGATATATAAAGTAAGTCTTAATAAAGTAAATAGTTAAATAAATAAGTAAGCTAGTAAAAGGAATATTCTTACTATTAAGCTTTTTCTAAAAGTTCTCTAGGTTAAAGTTAACTATATTATCTTTATAGTTAGGTAGTAAGGGCACTTAAAAGGTTATAATTTTATTATTTAATATATTAATTATATTAGCTTTACTAGTAGTTAATAAAAAGATATCTAATACTATAGTAATATAAAGAAAATAATAATAATAAAATAAAAGGTTAATTAGTAATAAATAATATAGTTAATAATAGGTTAGTAGTAATAGGTTAGTAGTAATAGGTTATTAACTTACTATTATTATATATAGGTAGGTAGTCTAGTTAACCCTAAAAAAACAAGGAGGATATAGTAGACCTACATTAACTTAATTAACTAATTAGAATATCTAAATATATCTATTATTTTAATATAATTAATGTTAGTTATAGTGTAGTACTTCGGGGGCCTGTGGGCAGACCCGCAATGTGTCTGCCTGTTAACCGCTACTGTTCCTGGTCGCCCATCCCTGCTGATTTAGGGGTATTAGTCACCCATGGTTCCTGCCCACTTGGATGCTTTGCAGATGCTGCTCAGGCACAGCTGTAGGGAAGTCGATGCTAAGAACATTGATGGATGGAGTCCACTAGCGTGGGTTGCCCAAGACGATGCTGCGGACGTAGTAGAAGCTCTTCTTTCCACAGGATTGGCAGATCTCGAAAGCCAAGGCTGTTTTGGAAGAACTATTCTAGCATGGGCAGTCAACAGTGACGACATGCCTGTAGCAGGAAATTTGGGGCCACCTACGGTCTTCGGTCCAAGAAGCAGCAGCAGACACGAGATTAACCTGCTCTTTTACGACAACATAGGCATCGTCTCGCCGGGATTCGAACTTGACAAGAACCGAATGATCTGCATCCAAAGAAACGCTATCTTCCTCAGGCACGACGGTAAGGCCGGTACTCGTCGCTTACTTCCTCGTCACCATCAGAATGGGCGGTCCCGACTTCCATAGCGTGCCGTCGAACTGCACCTGGAATAAAGGATGTACTTTTAAGTACCTCAATGAATGCGATGTAAGCATGGTGCATCAGTCACGCCCCTTGGATCAGATATAAACAATACATGATGACGGCCGTACGCCCTCGAATGTTTAATTACCTGCAGAAGCAACTACGTCACCGGCCGCCTTGACAATATATCTACGAATAAAATCACAGTCACAATCGCTATGCTCAAAGATTTGATGCTTCAGGGTAAGAACCTCTGTCTTAAGCGCCATTACGCAAGCATCGAGGTATCTTTGTTCTTCCACAAGCTGCTCCCCTTTGGCCACAAGATTAATCTCAACCTTCCCTCCTATATATTTTTCTTGGCACACACTGTTAGTGCAGGCCACCTCAATTATACTATAGACACTAACAGCCACCTTTTAGACTAAATTTCTTCCTATAGCCCTAGCCACTAAGGCTAAGGCCCTAGGCCCCCTAGCCTAGGCCTTCTTGTCTATAGCTATCCTTTTAGACGTCTTTAACTTATTACTACTACCTTTATATAATACTACTTACTTAAATACTATTATTTATAGCCTTAACTTTACTTAGTAACTAGTTTATTTACTATAAAAATAATTTACTTTTTTTTATTATTAATAGTAAAAGATAAAGAGACCTTTAAATCTTTTACTTTTTACTTTACTACTATTTATAAAGAAAACTTTATAGCTAGTAATCTCTTAAATAAGATTAAAAGCCTCTACTATATTAGTACTACTTTTACTAATATAGTTTAGTTAACTTTAACTTAGCTTAAGTTAAAACTAGTTAACTAAGTAGTAGCTTACTACTATACCTTTATATTTACCTAGTTTCTTTAAGATATTACCTTTAGATAGTATAGCTTACCTAGTAATCTCTTTTAGCCTTAGCCTTAGCCTTAGCCTAAGATATATATAAATACTACCTTCTACTATAGATAATAAGAGGTATTACTTTATTAGGTTACTATAGGACACTTACTTACTTTATAAAAGAGGCCTAGTAATATATACTTAGAGGATCCTTATATCTTTATTTAACTTCTTATAGACTACTCTTTATAAATAACTAATCCTTTAGTTATTTATAACTAACTTATAAAAGCTTATAAAGTCTTAGTTAAGGACCTTATAGTAATAACTAAGGTTAATAGTAGTTTTATAATTACTTTATATACTATAGGAATATAATTAGCTATACTTACTTATAGTATTAAGCTATTTTAACTCTTTAATATAACTTATATTAAAAGATCTACTAGTTAGTATACCTATATTATCTATAATATCCTATATAATATTAAGTTAAGATTTAACTATAACCTTATTTTTACTAAGTTTATAATAGCCTTAGAGGTTAAACTATAAGTAAGTACACTAGCTATTTAGGTGTACTTAACTTTTACCTCTAAAGACTTTAACTTTTAATCCTAGGTTATTATATTTAGCTTTACTTTACTTTACTTAGCCTTTTAACTCTTTAGAAGTACTACCTCTTTTAAACTTAAAAAGAAACTACTAAAATAATACTTAACCTACTAAGACTAGTATAAAAACTACTTTTACTATTACTAATTATTTTACTCTTAGTATAGCTAATCTATAGACTACCTCCTAGATATATATACTACTTTTACTAAATACTATAACTACTATAGCCTCTATAACTTAATAGCTAAGACTTACTTTACTAGACTATAAATAAGAAATAGCTCTTATTACTACCTTACTAAGGCTAAGAAACTATATATTAGATAATAAAGCTAAGCACTTTATAAAGTAACCTAAGCTACTACTCTAATAGATCTACTAGCCTTAGCTACTATATACACTAAGCCCTTAGCCTTAGCCTTAGCCCTAGAAACTACTAACCTTATAACCTTACCCCTAGTAATACTAAGTATTAACCTAGTAAGTAGACTATAAAATAAAGAGAATATTACTATACTATTAGACTACCTTTTATTAAAAAGAGGCACTACTTTTATACTTACCTTAGAGACCTTAATCCTAGATATATAACCTATATCCCCTATAGCTATAAGAGTAGCTATATAAAAAAACACTAGAACTAGTAAATACTTATAACTACACTAACCTTTTAAGTATTCTAAGTTAATATTAAGAAATCTAGAGTAATATATAATACTACCCTTATATTTACTTTAGTAGCCTATACTAAGGTTATACTAATATAAGAACTATAGTGCTCTTTAGATAAAGTATAAAATATTACTAAGTTTTACCTAGACTTTACTTTTTTTTTACTAGTATATATATAGATAAATATAAAAATATAACCTTATATTCTCTTCTATATCTAGAAGGACCTACTAGCTATAGAATTATAAGGTATTACTAAGACTTTAAACTAAGACCTACTAGGTATTATAGTATACTAGATATATATCTTTAATATATACTAAGATATTACCCTTATAATAACCTTTTACTCCCTAGAATAGTAAATACTACTATAGAGAACCTTAGTAGCTAGAGACTTTAATACTATATACTACTTATAGTAACCTAGAGCTAAACTAAATTATAGGGTAATATAACTTATTAACTAGTTTACTAGTTCTAACCTACTAGTCTTTAACTCCTCTAGAAAACCTACTTACTAGGCTAATAACACCTTTAACCTAGTAGTAACTAATATCCTTTTTACTTTATTATAGGTTACTCTATAGTACTACACTAGATTTAACTACTTTACTATAATTACTATACTTTTCTATACTAATATCTTATATACTTTTTACCTAAGAGCCTACTTTTGTCTTTTACTTAAATAAATCCTAGAGTTCTTAGCTATAGTAAAGGATATAGTATAGACTATACTTACTTTTACTAACTCTTATAATAACCTTAATTAAACTATACTTACTATTAGTGTAGTCCTCTAGATAGCCTTAGCTAAGGCTAGTATATAAAGTACACCTAGAGGCAAAGGTATACCCTAGTAGTCTAAAGACTACTAAGAAGTAAAAGAAGTATATTACTAGCTTACTAACTAAGACTTTATTTTACTAGACACTAAGAAAGCCTACTACCTCTTTTACTTTACTATCTATAAGGCTAAGTCTACTATATAGTAGACTTAGATATATAATATAAAGATAAATAAAGACCTATACTATATAATAAGCTAAGATAAGCTATTTACTTAGTTTACTTTTTTATTATTATAAAGGCTAAATAATATAGTTATTACTAACTTAATAAAAAAAGTACTATTCCTTAGGATAAAACTTCTTAAGAGAAATATCTATATAGATAACTTTAGCTATATAATATTTATAGTCTTATATAAAATACCTTCTTAGACTAATAAGGTTACTATAAAGAAATACTATACTACTTTACTAGGAGTAGGTAATACCTCTCTAAAGGTAAATAAAGTTACTATTAATATACTTAAGGCTACTTAGCTTTACCTTAGCTAGTATATTATATAACTATACTAACACTATATCTAAATAAAGTATTACTTTTTACTTTTTTACTAAGCTAAGACTATTATAATCCTTAAGCTAAACTAAGACACTAGTACTACTAAAGGCTAGCGCCCTATATTACTTCTTTTAACACTTAGTAAAGGGCTAAAACGCCTTTTAGCCTATAAAATTACCTAGACCTATATTTAGTAAAGTATCTTTTACCTATAAGTAGAGGGTATACTACTAAAAAGGTCTATAGTTAATATTATAGCTACCTTTATATATAACGTTAAGGCTACTTTTACTTATAAAGAGGTTACTACTCTTATAACCTATAATATCTAAGGAGCCTTTAATACTACTCTACTAGACGCTTTTAACTTATACCTTAGGGAATAAGGCTAGCTATATAATATTATTAAATAAGTTAAGTACTTTATAAGCCTTTATTAAGCGTCTATTTAGTATAAAAGGATAAGAATACCTATATCCCCTTTATCTTATAGACTTTTATAAGGATCCCCTATGTTACTTATCTTATACTTACTATATATAGCGCCTATCTATAGCATAGGCCTAGCCTTAACCTACTTTAAATATATAAATAACTATATTATCCTTTATATAAAGAAATCCCTTAAATATACTACTACTATAGCCTAGTCTATACTTAATATAACTATTAAATATAAAGCCTTTATTAGTATTACTTTTAACCTAGCTAAAATAAAGGTAATATACTTTAGCTATAAACTTAATAATAACCTATTCCCCTTAATTAAGTACTACTATAGACTAATTACCCTAGAACCTACTATATATTAGCTTAAGGTATAGCTTAACTACTTCTTCTTATTTAAGACTTATATTAAGTCTTATACTACTAAGGTACACTTAGTAATAAGGCACCTCTGTAGCCTTAATAAGGTTATTAGAGGTGCCCCCTTAGCTACTATATAAAAAGCACTTTATACTATTATTATCCTAAAAGCCTTTTATACCTTAGAACTATAGTACTTTAGCTATACTAAGGCTATAGCTAAAAAGAAAAATAATACCTTCTAATATATTACTACTAGCCTAAAGGACTAGCTAGTAAAACTTTAGTTAGCTATTAACTTAAAGATTAGGGGCTACCTACTAGTCTAGTAAACTATACTTTTGTTTATACTTTATAAAGAATCTATAACCTTACTAGTTAAGCTACTTCTAAATACCTACTAGTTATAATACTTACTTTAACTAAAGACCCTAGACTTCTTATACTTACTTATAACTAGACTATATATATAAGTAAACTAAGAATAGTAAGGTATTATACTTTACTTTACTATCTTTATTAATATAGAAAAAACCTTACTTTACTTTCTATACTTTAAACTTCTCCCTTAGATATATAACTACCCCCTAAGGACTAAGCTTAGTAAAAAAGAAGCTACTATAATCTATACTATATAGGTAGCCTCTTTACCTTTTATCTACCTACTAGTATATACTAATAGCTTATAGACTACCTTATATAATACTAGCTATAGATATACTGTCTTTTAAAGACCTACTCTTATATATACTAGCTACTACTAACTCTTAAACATAGAGGTTTTTAATACTAAAGTAGAAGAGGCTAACACTAGCCTCTATATAGCCCTCTAGATTACCTTAGATTACCTAGAAATAACTAATATCTCTGTTTACCTAGATAACTACACTATTATATAGTGCCTTAATAGTACTTTTACTAACTCCTTATAATCTACCTTCTTTAACTTTTAGTACTTAGCTAAGGAGTCTCCTCTTATAGTAGACATCTAGTAGTCCCTTAGCTATATATAGATATATAGTAATAATATTATAGACTACCTTACTAAATATAGCTTAACTATTAAATCCCTAGACCTATATATATACCTCCCTATAATTAGCTATATTAAGTACTATATTTACTTAGACTTTACTTATGCTTTCTTTACCTAGTAGTATACCTTTTACCTAGAGTACTACTACCTATAGGGCCTCTAAGACCTTAAGGCTACTATTAAACCTCCCCTAGAGCTTAAACTCTTTTACTATAAGCTTTACTTTCTCCTAGCTACTTAGACTAAATATAAAGACTATATAGTATATTATAACTACTTTACTTATAATAACACTAAATAGTACTACTACTATAGGGCTTTAAAAAGCCTAAAGTACTTACTATACTACTAATATACTTAGCCTTACTCCCCCTAGCTTAGTATAAAAGCCTAGCTTAAGAAGTAGTAGGCTAAGTTTATTAAGCTAACACCTAGAAGGTTAATATATACACTTAGCCTCTAGTAGATAATAGCCTAGGCTACTACTTTTAGTTAACCCCCTAAAGAGAGGACCTATAGTATAAGGCTACCTTATAACCTAAGCTTAGTATTACTAGCTTAGCTAAAGGGCCCTATAAGTTAATCTAGTACCTTTATAGGTTACCTTTAACTATTAGCTAGCTAAGGTCCTTCTTATATATCTTTATTACTATATTTACTTATACTTTCCTCTTTACCTTTTAATAAGGCTATACTTTTACCTTTAGTTATATATATACCTACCTTTACTAAACCTTTACCTTCTCTTTTACTACTTTATAACTTAACTTTATACTTTTCTATATAGTTATTACCTAGTATCTTTAACTTTATATATATTCTTAGGAAAAAAACACTAATTTATAGGCTTAAGATAAGGGATTTATACTGTTAAAGAGGGACATTATTATGCCTAAGATCCCTTCTGTAGAGGAATCCTAGGCTAGTAAATAATAGTAGATAGGCTAAGCAGGCGCCTTGTGCCACACAGACTGGACCTGACGGGCGTTAAATATTATCATCATCATCATCATCATCACAAGATTAATCTCGTATCTCTTTGCCTTCTCACAACAACGCTTCGCAGAAGTCCAAACCTTTTTGGAAATGGCCTTCTTTCTGACAGGTTTTCGCGGCTTGTCGCTCGTCTCGCCTATATTGTTGTAATCCACCCATCCTATCTTCTGAGGGTTTCGAACTGACGCTTCTAGACTTACCTTCATCCCCGGCCATATGTCGAGGTCTTTGTGAACCCTATGGAGCGCTTAATAAACGTTAATGCTGGTTGGATGACTATGTTCACCTTTTTTGCCTCTTTTGTCGCTATAGAACTCAATACAAGTGAGTTCCGATGCTGACTTTCGAGAAGCGGTTGCCATGCCGCTACCGTTGCAGGAGTTGAGCAGGCTGGACTCGGCCAATACATAGGCGAACTCAGGGGAGCAGACTGTGACAGTTGAGCGTACTGTTGCGGCTGAAAGGCGTCATTATCATTCTTTGGTGCCCATTTCGTTGAGGTATAGTCCGATTCCGCTATAAAAGTGTCGATAACGTCGATTGGCTGGTGTTCTAGTACTGCAGTTCCTAATCACAGAGAGCTTGTTAGGCCCAAGTCAATGTGTAAGCCTCAAGAGTATCTAGACGCACCTATGATGGCGTCACTCCCATACCATTCCTGGCAGGGAAAATAATCCTGGGACATTAGAAAGGGTTCCTCTTTTGGTGGTGTTGCGTAATATGCCACAGTCGCAACGGCTGATTGAAGATGACCTTGCTGGGCCATATAGCCCAGTCGACCAGTCATGACTGGCTTGCTGGTGTAATTTGGGGTGCAGATGCTGGGAAGTGGGTCCTCGACGGGCACTCCTCGACGTTAATAGCAGTACAGACATTCAAAAATCCCATGCAAAGTAGTCTAGCACACAACGAAGTATGAATGAGTTACTAGGAATTTGAATCTGCTCCAATACATTAGAGATAGGATGTAAGCTTCAAAGACTGAAAGAGGATATGATCTACAAAGGCCGGTGCGGGACGGCAGCAGTATTAATACCTTCAGTTACCCGATGCAGTCTGTCACGAGTAGAACAGGGCAACCAACTCTGGCACAAAGCAAAAGCTTCGGTAATCATGCACCTGCATCATTATCCCCCGTTATGCACTATATAGTTACGCCGGCCAGCACTCCAGCTGGTTGGGTCGTAACCCAGTCGGCACCGTTGGCAAATTTGGCAAAATGCGCAGTAGCGTAGTAGGCATATTCGAAGGATCTAGATCAACTACAACGGATTATTAAGAGATTTCGCATTCCACAAGCACATAAAGTGATGTGGAAGGAATCTAATAACCCTTTGATTCTTTTCGGTAATGGGCTGATTTTTCTTGGGGCGTACATAGCGCATTAGTGTCACAGGCTCCTAGGATGGATACAATCCGAATGGTTTACTCCCTGTCTTGTACGACAGTATGGATACAGCATCACAGGTCAAAGCACCTGCATGTTCTAGAATGGCAGCACCAAGACATCAGCTCGACGAATAATTTTTGAGTATTATCTTAAGGATGACTCAATATTAGTAGGGGTACACTAAAAATGAGCTGATGTTCCATTTATCAGCTCATTTTCTCGGAGAAGTGGGAGAGCGTTGCTGCAGATTCTGCGATCTGTTTATTAAATTTCGATGTAAAAGGGAACTTGAAGATGCAACTCTTCAAGTGAATCGCCCCTTTAACCATTTAACCATTTCACCACTTTGATAAAGCAGGGATCTGATATCTCTAACTACTCTATGTTGAAATGACCATGTTTCTAACGCTGACCCTGACTTTTACTGCTATAGGTGGATGAGTGAAACGAGAAGAAGCAAAAGCAACCACAATATCTTCATGCTACATATTAGCATCATACATAAAGCCTATGGAGGCTTTATCAAGCCAGCTTTAGGCACGTACAGCATACACCCAGGTACGAGTCGTCGCCCAAGGCGGATGCGCCTGAGCCCTAAAGACTTGAGAAGTCAACGAGACTCCATACATCGTCGTCAAGGGTGTCTGTGACAACGCGGACAGCCACAAGAACAAGGCGTGGCAGGCATATGCGGCGGCAACAGAAGCGTCTGTGAAGGCTCTTCTGGCACGCTCCGTTCGAACGGACAAGCCAGCGGGCGAGCCTAGCGGTGCAGGTGCATCGCCCACACCGTATACACCATATACCCTGTAATCATTTCAGCGTTCACCAGGTTTACATTTGTAAACTTTTGAATGGAATGGAAAGCATCTGCCGCTGGTGCGCTTTCGATGTGTCTCAGGGGTAATTAGCTAGAGCACTCAAGATCCAGAGACCCCTGATCTTTAACTCCTTTGCTAGCTCAGGGTGTTATAGAAGGTTCCATGATAGTAGATCCATTGTCAGTATTAGGAACTAGAGGTAGGAGCAGGCCGGGCCTTAGAAGGGTCGTGTTTCGCTCGAGAGGAAGGATTCCCATGTCAACAGGCCCCGAGAGGATAAGCCCTTTCAGGTGCACTTTTGCACAAGCAAGAACTAGACGGCAGCGAGTTGGTGGTACAGACGCTCGCCAGTGTCGCTAGCTACCATTCTTGGCTGCAAGACCCCCAGGCACTCAGACTATGTAGCAATTGACTTACTCTCCTTGTTTTAAAGGAAGGCAGTAGAAACTGCAGATCAGTATACCATCGAGTTCTGGTAGACATCAGTCTAGGTTTTAATATATTCTTTTCTCTCGGCAATCTGACGTTCCTGACCTGAGAAGTATTTTGCAAGTAATTGGTCGCATGTGAAGATACCTTTCTGATGTTGTTACTCCTCAGCCTGTTTGACTTAGCCAATAATATGTGCATCTGACGTTTAGTAGCAGTTGATGGGATAGGATTTTACTTTCTGACTGTTGGAAATGTTGATGTATTTAGATAACTTCAAGTAGGTGCATTGGGGCATTGTTGTCGCTGGCGTTGTGTCTTCAACACCATCTTCCTGACAGACTTCCAGTTAATCCACATGCCAACCTTCGAGCCTTCCAACAATCCTTATAGCTCGGGCCATAGCCACTCATGAACAACATTGAACCCATCTCTCAAAATCTTGACCTCTGCATGCGCTATGGCCGTGCTTGCCCTTGAGATATATTTCCAGTCGACTGGCGTTTAATCTCCGAGAGACCTTCAATGAGTAAGGTGACAGGTGCGGTTCTGCTCGAATATTATACTCAACTCGAAATATTGGGCGATTTACGAAGCCTAGGTCACTTCCTAAAGTGGCTGAAATATGGATGGATTCAGCATAGAGCGTAAAGCGAAAGCTTTTCCTTACACGGTCCGGATATAAGCGAATGGACTGCCCTGTACGGGCATCCTTGATGGTTTTCATCTTGAATGCCATCGCCTTCCTCCGAGCGCTTTCAGCAAGCTGCCTTTTTACCCTCTCGCGGTCATAGACGTTAAGAATCGCAAAGTACAGAGGATTTGCTTTATTAAGTCCCCAGCCACGATGTTTAGCCATGTGCTCCGGTCAGAACCTCAGGAATGTCTGGTTGTCCCAGAATACAAAGAATATCGCCGTGAGAGCCTCCGCGATGTGGACAAACGGGACCGGAACAGACTCTGAGAAGCAAAGTAAAACCACGAAATTCTGACGTGCCCCGGACCTAGTCATTTCGGTGCAGTGAGGCACGCCGCTCTAGGCGTGTCCAACCTTTACAACTAGCAGTTCGAGTTTCCGCATTGCTACTACTGCTTGGGGCATGTCTTGTAAAAGACTCTGGACCTCTAACCAGGGGAGATAATGCTTTTTAAGGAAGATGTGAGCCCTGGTGCTGTCCTGTTTATTACCGTGCGCGGGGCTTTCCACAGGATTCAAGTCCTTAAGGTGGTCAACCTAGTGCCTGCAGGAGTATTTTAAAGGGGCCAGGGTGTCTAGATTAGGTGGGGATACATTCTCTATAAGAACCTTAGGGTAGTGCCGCTTATAAATATCGCGTCTGAGCGTGTAATATAACACGTCCAGAGACCTCAAGAAAATAATATAGTGCTAGTACGTAATGCTACAAGGTAGATTTCAGTTGTACGCCTTGTATTCCTTGTTTATTCCTTGTTTGAGAGGAAATCTTTAGCTAACTAGTGTTTAAAATAGACTGTGTTCTTACGAGTTGTGGGAAACAAGCCGCAGAGACCGACCAAGTCCTAGATTGACTTCGCGATGCCGTGCTTGCCCCTGTCCCAGCCAAAGTCCTCAGATTCGCTGTCTTCCCATTCACTATCATCCGACTTGGTGTCACTTGGTGGGTCGTTGAGCTGTTCAAAGACTGACACATACTTTATGAGTGAGAGAGGACGGTAGGCCAATGTAGTCACCGCGAGGAATTGATTGCATCTCAAATGAATAAAGGAAGTAGTGCCCTGTCCTCCGAGTAGTGCCCGGCTTGGCACCGGATTAGAACCGGTGCCCCCCGCGCCGAGGCTCGGGAGAGGCTGTGAGTTACGGGAGGTTATACCTGTGCTGGTCTCCTGGCGGTTCCGGATTTGGGCTCGTGGAAGAACTCCATTGCTAGTTGCTAGGGAGAATGGTCACTACTAAATAGCCGGGCCACTACTCGATACTGGTTAAGTTAACATTTACACGAAAAATGAAGATGGCTAAAATCCAGTTTCACGGGCGACTAGCTAAGGACATAAGGCGATAGTGAGGGCCTGGTCGAAGACAGATGGACGCCTCTTAACTTAGCATTTGTCACAACCTAAATCGATTGGTGACTAATTCAGCCTAAACCAAGCCCCTAGCATAAATAATAGGGAATAACATGGGTCATATGATAGAGCAGTTGGGATTTTAGTTGAGAAGGGTTAGCACAGCCTCGCTTGAGCAGATAGCCACTCAATGCCATTAATCCAAGCGAAAGAGGAAAGAAAAATATTTGCTGTAGATACCCGCGTTAGGCGTGCTTTTGTGAGCGCGCGTAGGAGCGCGCAGAGCTAGCAAAAATAAGGGTCGTGCGTTAGATAAATCAGCTGTGGCGGGGTGGTCCCTGCGGAAAGTTGTCAAATGTGACAGCAAAACGTAACCATCTAAAGCGGCGTACACACCGGACACGTGGGCAAATGAGGGATGCATTTCTGCCAATAGGGCGGCCAAACCAAAATCGGGCCATTTCGGGTGACACGTACATTCTGCCCACAGGAAATACGCGTCATTGGAAGGGCGAGTTTTTACCATAGACATAACACAAGCAGCACTTTCCACAGTCCTCTTCTATTAGTTTCAGCTCCTCAGCCAACTACAGCATCCCTTGTACTTTAGTTATCAACAAGGCAGACAGCATGTCTTGTTTTGAAACCTCTCAGCGCCATTCTCTGCAGTGGTCTGACAAGTCGTATGAGCATGGTGAACTTCCAATGGTACGTGGTCTCTATCTGGGGATATCAGGGGAGGTCAAGGTACTGGAAGTTAAAAACGCCAGGCAGACAGGACAGGGTCGGTGCCTCGGATGAGCAGGCTGCTACTAGGCTTGTGTCATGTTTCACAAGACTACACACCGCGACTTCAGACGATAATCATTGGCTCATGTTTCAATCTTTCGTCTGACCTGGTAAGTTAGCTAACGCTTGGGCTTATCCACGTAGCATACTGACGTCGCGCAGAACTGTGTCTAACTGTTGAAGTGCGTGGATACAGCGGTCAATTGCAACGTTATCCCTGTTCAATTGGGCGTATATTGATTATGTATATGATAGGTAACTATGGCGAATTTGCCGTGGTTGTGGCCTTGAATTTGTGGTCGACCTTGTTTAGCACTGCAAACTGTGCCATCACTGCCCTGGCACGTTGGTAGAACACAAAAGAACGATCAGGAAGTCAAAGTCCAGTGTGATCAGGGTTGTAAATTAGTATACTTAAGTCTAGTATTGGCCTATACTAATACTAATAGTATTTTTGAGCCTATACTAATACTAGGCTAGTCTAGTATAGGGGTATACTAATACTAGGCTAGTTTAGTATTAGTATACTTAAGTATACTAATTAGTAAGTAAAAATAAGTAAAAATAAATAAAAATAAATAAAAATAATAAATTAATATTTTAAATAAATAATTACTATTTTTAACTACTTTAGTAAGTAAAACTTCTTGCTTACTAATCTAGTATCTTAGTAATAATTAACTTAATACTTAAAAACTAGTATAAATTATAAATTAATTATAATTATAAACTAAAAAAAGTAAAAAAATACTATAAAAAGTATTAATAGTATATATATATTTATGCTAGTATATATATACTTTTATATATAGTATATTAATAACTAAAAGTATATTATCTATATTTTTATTTATTTTTATTTATTTTTATATACTAATTAGTATACTTAAGTATACCTAAGTAATACTAATACTAATAAAGGCTATACTAATACTTACTAATACTAAGGTTAGTATAGTTTTCTTATACTAATACTAAGTATACTTAAGTCTAGTATTAGTATACTAAATACTAGTAGTATTTTTTACAACCCTGAGTGTGATACAACGCGCGACTGCTGGACAGTCAGTCTAGCCAGAAAGATTGGGCGATCGACATTTTCCTCTCTATTACGGCGCGGCCGAGAGGTATCTCCTTGAATCATGTATTTGTGGACCTCCGCTAATATTCACGTTTCAGGGCCCAAGAAGATACTGCCTTAGCAAATGAGCTTACGAATCGATGCAACAGGGAGCAAAGTCCCACTCGGCGTAGCCGTCGCGGCTTGAGACACGGTGGTATGATCGTTTGCGCTGCCAAAGAGGAGGGATGGCCTCACCCGCCGGTTTAAGCAGTCCAACGTCTTCTGGTATACCACGGGGCGGTTGCTCAATTTCCCTAGCAAAAAAGTTCGAACAGCTGTTGGTTCTCTGTACTCGTAACAGAGAAGCCGTCTTCGACAATTTCACTGACGCCTCAACTCTTCCCGCCCTACCGAGTCATCTCTTCGCCCCAGTGGCAGGAGGACCAGGAAGTAACAACGGAAATTATCACCAGAGGTTCATGGGTTCGACTCACCGCCCCAACATGACCACAAACCAATCAGTGTGGCCTCAACTAGGTGGCAAGGCCTCTCGCAGGTCCAAGGTCATATTTGGCATCTTGATCTTATTTCTCGTATCGTGGGCTTTCATCTTGAATTCGGACTGGAATGCCATCGGCGCCGGACTGAGCGTGCCCGGCTTACACGGCCAATCGGCAAATCAACCGGCGAACCAACTGGCGCCAGAGCCAGAGCCTAAACCCTTAAGCGCCGTTCTGTCGCCCAATGAAAAGGGTGTTTTGCTATCAGCGGGTATGCCCATCTTTACTTCTCCAAGAGGCCTGTACACTCTCGTCCTGCAAGACGATGGAGATCTCGTTCTCAACCGCATGAACGCAGACGGGACCTCCCATCCTGTATGGTGGACTGGGACAGGTGATAGGCACAACGGCGGGCATACGCTTATTGTTGAGAAGCAGAAGGATCACTTTCGTATTGCTGTCAACGCCTTCTTAAAGAACGCATGGACAACAGTGTGGCATAGTGATCTGGTACCAGGGTGTGAAGTAGGAAAGGGCCAGATCTCGGGACGCAACGAGAGTAGCCACTGGCTGCAATTGACAGGGTCGTTGGCTATGGTCCCTGGGCAAGTTGAGCTCTCAGACCAAGGAAGGCTCTCTATTGCTGGATTATGCGACCTCTACGTCTCGCCAAAGGAACGCGAAAAGGAGCGCACCTTGGCTGTCATTGTGACAGGCCTCTACAGGACAAGCCACGTGACCTGCAAAACGCACATGGAACACCTTGTTGCTAATAATTCATTCTTCTCAAGAATCGATGTTTTTGCCTACGTTCTCTTTGAGCCTGAAGACATTGACATATACAACCGAACCGAGGATTCTATCCGGGCAGAATTACGGAAGTGCTATGGCTTGCACCTACGGTCTATGGATGTTATGCCTGTGACTCGGGAAGAAGAGGACTATCCTGGCGGAGAAAAGGCAATGGAAGCGACAATGTGTGGTAACAGGTTGCAGAGGCTTAACAACCAGTTAAAGACAATATCGTTTGCAGCAAAGCAGTGGTCAGCTTGGAGTATTGCCAACGGATATATTCATGACACAGTGTTGCGTCTTCGTCCTGATACAACGCTTAGGGCGAGGCCAAATTTCAAGAGCTTAGAAGAGCTAGGCAGCAACACACTCGTGCTGCCGCACCCACATGGAGAACACTACTTTTACTGCGCCCGGATGCGTGGGCAGGTTGGTGTTGGTAAGTGATTAAGATGGACTGCAACGGTTTTGCTTTATAAAGGAACAAAGCTAACCTGTGTATCTCAAACAGGACCAACTGACCAAGTCGCCTACGGTAGCGCGCTTGCCATGAGCCACTGGCTGTATATGTACGACAATTTCCATCAAATGGTCGAGCTCGCGGGAAGTCCTTCTGGACCGGCAATGAGGGACTTCTCCGGATGTGAGGTGATGCCGCTGACTCCACTGGCAAGAGACTGCCCCACGCCCGCGCCGTGCTCAATCGAATGCCTGGTGGCTTGGTACCTTGATGCTCGCGGAGTTGACTTCCGCATCGAGTGGGGCTGGGATCATGGATTGTTGCGGTGGAAAGATATAGAGCCTGTTGGTGCGGAAGCAGAGTGGATGGCTAATCTTGATGGTGGTGGGCAAGATCAAGATGATCGCATGACAGGGCCTTGAGGAAACAAGAAGATTTTATTTCTTATTCTTACTAAGGGGCGTGGGTGTCTTAGTTGTTTGTCACTTCATTATGGGAAAGCGTGGTGTTTAGGTAACATTGAATGCATAGAGACTAGAATAAACCAGTTTAATCACAAGAAATCGAGAAAAAACAGAGCCTGAACATGACTGCATATAAGGCAAGGGCTAGGAGGAGCAGAGATAAAAAACCAAGGTATTAGCGCTCGGATTAGGGAAACAGTGAAGGATAGATTTTGTCTAGGTCACTAAAATAGTGTAATATCTTGAAAACAGTAGTCTTCGTTCTACAAGAGTGATAAGAAGATACAAGACGTAGATATTACAGCTTATAATCTAACAGTAGGATTTCTGCTAATAGTATAGCTAGGGTCAATACGTAGTAACAGTAGCTTATATAGCTTTTGTTAGTAAATTACTAGAGTTAGATACTAAGAGGTATTTAGAGAGTATATTATAAAGTTAATTACTAAAGAGCTATAGAAGTCTATCTCTAAGTGTGTCTAAGTTTATCTTATAAACAAGTCTATAATTCTATTAGTATACTATTAAGTAATAGCTTACAGTATATACTAGAGAGTTATAGTAGCCTATATTAATAACACTATAAACCCTTAAGTAAAAAGTCTACTACTACACTAAATACTATACATTAGATTTAGTAGGTTTCTAGTGTTAGCCTTATACTTTTACTCTAGAGGAGTAGTTCTATCTTATTATAGATGTTATAGGACAACTGCCATATACTATAGATAGACAACAGAGACAGTAGATAACTCTATAGGCACATAAATGGACATATGTCTATAGAGTATACATCCTATTGCCTAATGCCTCCTACTAGGGGAGCTAACCTGAATAGACTATCTATATGTATACCTATCTTTTGTCCTATGTTAATTATTTAGCTCCTTGTTATTACTTGTCTTGTTTTACTGTTCTACTATTACACTTTGCCTTTGCACCATGTTACTTTATATTACTATTATAGCTAAGCTTCTCCTATTAGATCTATAACAGCTAGTAAGAAGGCTATACTAGTAGAAGCGAGAACTTTATAAAATATCCTAACTAATAAAGTTTACTATAGTTAATATTAGAGAAAGCTTAATATATCTAATGATTACTACTAGTAATAGTAAAAGAAACTTAGTAGTAAAAAGAATTTATAGTACTATATTAAGTATAGAGGTATTTAGTAATATAAGACCTATAGATATTGCCTTATACCCTAAAGGTTAGGAGATTTACTAACTTTATAGAAATTAGTATAGTATTCAATGTCTAGTAGTATTTATCTTATATAATCTAGATATAAAGCTTATTAAAATAGTTACTTTAAATCTCGAAAATTAATATTTACTGTCTAGAGGCAAGGAAAGCTTATAAATAGACTAATTAGAGCATCACTTAAATAGACAAGAGACTACTATAATCTACACTACATATGCGTAGGGCAAGATTTAGGCGCTGTAAGCATCTAGGGAACTTATACTCTGTGTAGGTAAACTAAAATAAAAGAATGGGTTCTCTAACCTCTAGGCGGATCTCTAGGAAGGGGAGGAGAAGCTCTCTAAGCCAGCGCAAAGAAAGGTGTAGAAATTCTTTTCTAATGCAGCCATTGGTCGCTTGTGGTGATATTTTATAGCATAGCGCCTTTAATAACCTCTATAAATTATTGTTGCAGAAGTGTGCTTGGGGTTAAGCGCCTAAAATTACTGCTAGAGGTTGCAGCCAAGCGACGTCCAGATGATAATATCGAGTTGAAGTCTTGCCATTACAGGCTTACTCTTGCTGCTACAGGCTGACTGGTGGAGATAGATAAATGTAACATTACATAACCACTTCCTAATCTACTTGTTTGTCTATACTATGTAATGATATAAAAATATGAAGCTGCCCTAATTGAACAAGAATACATAGCCCCTTACGGTCTACTCCTGTAGCCGCTAATCCACGCTATGTCAGACTATCCCAGCACATGTCATGCCTTATGACCCGCCTATACTATACTGACCCAGCTTAAGCTGCCTTTTGGCTCTACCGCCGGCTCTGATAAATTGTGTGTCTGTGTGTATGCATATGCATAGGGTACTGAGTCAGGTAAGTAACAAGTCCATAATAGATAATATAGATCTAATTTATATACCTAGAGATAACTCTTGTGTGCTAGATTTATACTGAATATATAACCGTAATAAAGTATTTTTCCTAAGAAAAGCAAAGATATATAAGCATATTTACTTAACAAGGGGGTTAAGAATTATTAGATTATTTTTTCTACATAAATATTACCAAGTAATATTAGGCAGTAAAGTAATTTTAATACTATATGGCGTTACCGACTGTATAAGAGAAGTAGAAAGTAGGGATAGAGGCAGCTGTAGCTAAGCTCCTACTATAGGGAAAGTATAATAAGCCTAACCTTTCCACGCTCTTGATGTCCTTCTTAGATACTACAATAACAATAACTACAATAATAATTACAACAACAACTACAGCAATAATCACGCTCTAAACTTATAATGAAGCTCTCTGTCGCTATTCTTCTTACTGCTGCTACTTTTGCTGCAGCAGATGTCTGCCAGTAGGCTATATAATCTATATTATTAAACGCAGACGTATATACTAACAGTACTTATAGATGTCAAATCGCCTCTAATGGAGAATATAAGTCCTCTTCTTATCATACTGAACAAGCTTGCGATAGTGGAATGGGAATCAATCATGATATTGGTCACAAGAGCGAATGCCATACTTACAATCATGTTACCACTAAGATGTGGATTGAGGTACGTGAAATAAGATTGTTAATAAGCCGTAACTAACAGCAATTAGGCTTGCAAGAAGATAGGGGCCGCTCATGGAAAATGTTAAAGCGTAGGGAGTACTTTATCTAGATTGATGTTAGAGGAGGCTAGAGTAACGTAGGGCTGAAGTAGGATAGCGCAGCTCTATATAAGGGATTTAGAGGATATTTAGTAGGGTTAGATTTCAGCTTTATTAACACCTTTTTTGGTTACCTATTAACAACCTTGCCCCACATCCAAACCATCCGAGAATGCCGCATCATCAACACCATCACCTTTTTCAAACTATTACAATAATTGCTATATATCGCCAAAAAACGCCATTTTCCAGGATACCTTCTTCAGCCCATCATAAAGCAATACTCCTAATTCGAGCTTCAACGGGCCCTTCTAGACGTAGATGCTGGAATGGGTATCCGGGCTGTTGCTCGTGTAAGGGGTATACCATATTACCCAACACTTCGGCATCAATACCACGGCAGGCGAAGCAAAAATGCTGTCTATATCCATATGCAGCAATTATCCTAGTCACAAGAGGATAACATGGCTGCCCATATATACCCTCAAGATTCCCTTAGGAAGGCCCTTACCCATCAGCAAGTGAAGGGACTGGCAGAGCGTATGATGGGCGATGGGCAGCAACTCATAGTGAGGAAGTGAATGGCTCGATTCCGGCAGCAAGACCCATCCATCAGAGCCTTTAGATCCAGAGGTAGATGCCTGGCGATGGGCAACCCATTCTTCCGAGGTTATCCATGAATTTTTCCATCGTCTGGCCAATATCCCTGTCATCCAGGGAACCCATCCATCCAGCCGATGGAATATGAATGGAACAGGCATTATGGAGGGCAAGGGAGATAATGGGCTAGTGCTGGGCTCTGCAGAATCAAGAGGAATACAGAAAAACAGCCAGGATACCGGCGATGGGTACCATCATCAAGTGTGTATCTGCTGCTAGCACCTCCTTGCCCCCCTTAATTATATATAAGGGCAAGAGTCTTCAAGATCGGTGGTTCCCACTCAGCTAATTCATCTTATCTAGATATGATAGATGGCACTTTGCAATCACTTATAATGGCTGGATAACTGAGAGAACTGCCCTCCAGTGGCTGGAGAAGGTCTTCATCCCAGGCACCCAGACAGAGGAGGCCAGACTGCTGGTTCTAGATGCCTAACTAAGCCATATATCCATTGACTCTATGTAGGAATACTGGTAGCATAACATCTATCTGTTATTTCTACCTCCACACTCCTCTGATGTCCTCCAGCCTCTAGATGTAGCTGTCTTCAGCCCATTAGCGCAGGCCTATCGCAAGGAGGTTGGATATATAATGACTGGGTTGTGGATTCAAGTATAGCTGGCAGAAGGGCATTTCTAGAGTGTTATTTCAAGGCCTGAGCAGCAGCAATAGCGATGCAAAACATCAAGGCTGGCTGGAGGGCAGCTGGATTATGGCAAGTTGCTAGGAGGCATCCCATATCTAACCCCATGATATCCAAGGCCCAGAAGGCCAGCCAGTCCAGCCAGCAGATTATCTAACCTAGTAGCCAACAGTGAGATGAAACCGTATCTATCGCCCCATGGTCAATCCCCCATCGATCTGCGGATCTACGGCATCAACTACGCCATTTAACCCAGCTGGGCCAGGATGGGTTAGATACCCATACTATTCGTCACCTATCTGGAAAGGTGCAAAAGGGGTATAATGAGCAGGCATCTAGACTGGCCCTTCTAGAAAGGCAAGTTAACGCGTTATAGGCCTGACTAGAAGATAAACGGTCACACAAGAGAAGAAAGGTCTCCCTATCGCCCAACAGCACCTCCGCCACTATAGAGAGTATCTAGCGGGGCCAGAAATATAGATGCTGGCTATATAGATAGTCTAGATAAATCCAGCGTATCTAAATTATTTAGCAAGGCCGAAAGTTACATATAGGTAGGCGGCAAGGCTAAGGAAATACGTGGTAATAGTGGTGTGTTGTAATGTCTTCACGACATTACGTAGCCTTAGAGGGACCTAACTAGTGACTAGAACATTTATTAATCTAGACTTACTGCCTAGATCTACTATACTAACATATATATCTATAAGCTAAAGTAGATAGTCTAGAACGTAGATAGTTAAACTATTTTCCTATAACTTTCTATAACTAAATAAGTGTATTATAATATAGTAGTAATAGCGGTGGTAATAGTGGCCCACAAGTAGGGTAGTTAAGTTAATCTTTGTGCTGCTCTATAGAGAATTAGGAAGCTAAGATACGCCTGTCCTTGTCCTCTAAATTTTATATCTTTGTTACTAATATAATTACAGTGTACTATATAAGTACTACTCTATTATTAATATTATTTCTACTCTATGTAGCCCTTATTATAATAGTATAATTATTTCTTAACCTTATAAACCCCTAGTACTAATGTATCTTTATAAACATCCTTTGTATCTTAGGACTACCTCTTCCCCCTGTAGTACTCTTAACAAAGTCCTAGTATATAACTAAGAGGATATAGTAGAATACAAGGTTACTTAAGTTCTTAATTAATAATGGTTAGCTAGGCTTAGTTCTGGTTACCCTAGTAGGCTTTAGGAAGGGTACATAGTTAGCCTAGGCAATGTCTTGTTTTATAATATAATTAGTAAGTTCTACTAACTATATTAGTTTATTAACAAAATGTTTTTAAGAGGACTTCAAATAGCTTTTCTAACTTATTAACCCTATTATTATATCTTAAAGTAATTCGTAACATAACAGCTTATTATATAAAGCTTAATTACTAACACAAGGCCTCTTGAGCCAGGAAGAGCATGATTTTGGGTTGACGAAAAGGGGCTCCAGCAACTTAAATCTCAACCTCTCAATTTCATTAGCATTGGCAACGTCACGCGTATTGATGGTAATGGCCCAGTCGAGGCCCGACTTCTCCGACGCGGCAAAGGATCGTGCCCCCGGGAGCGTGCCTTGCCGTCTGCTAACCGTTCGCCCACCTATGCCCCAGACGGCGTGGTTGCCGATGAACTTGGCAATGGTGCTCGCGCTGGCGGCGAGCGAGAATGCCGCATCGCATTCCTCTTTGATGGCCCCGTCGCCTCCGAAAACACTGGACACCTTCGCGTTGGAGGCCGGCCGCGAGCCATCGAGGCCGGTAAAGCGGGTGTCCTGGATGATGCGATCACTAACATGCTGACTGGCGGCTGTCCGAAAGACGCGAACATCCAGACCGCCAAGGATGTTCTTTTTCAAGAATTCAAAGTATGGTTGGCGACTAACCTGGCTCACGACGTAGCCCAGGACCATCGAGCCGTAATTCGAGTAGACATAACTTTTACCGGGCTTGGAGTCGAGAGGTTTCGCGAGCTGGTACTCAATAACATCGCGCAGAGATGCGGGACGCGCACTGTTGTAGAAGTATTGAGCAGCCTGGCGAAACTCGAATCCAGGATCGCCCGACCTTGCACGATCAAATCCCGTCTTTCCGCTGAGGAGATGGTCGATCGTTGTAGTGAAGGCCCGCCGATCTCTGGCTCTTTTGAAGCCAAGGAGTTTGTACACGCGTGTGGAAAGCTTCAGCTTCCTTGCCCGAATCAGGTTGTCAATGGCGGCATAGACAAACATCTTGCTCAGGCTGGCCAAGAGGAAAACGTCGTCTGGTTTGACGGGCGCGCGGTTGCTCTCGGCCCACGTATAACTGCGTTCGAAGATGATGGTACCCTTTTCGGCGCCCGCGACCTGGGCCTGGCGCACACCGTTCTTCTTCATCCATGCCTCCATAACGGCATCGAGTTTCGCCGTCATGGCCGGGTCGCCCGCCTTGCCCGTCACCGTCCACTTGCGGGCCTCAGGGACGTCGCTCTCGGCAAAGATGGCAGAGAACCGAGCATCCTGGCCGGTACCGGCGCCGTCGATGTGGATGGGATAGAGACGACCTTGGCGCTGCTTCGACTTCAGCTCAGCGTCCAGTTGGTCCGCAGTGAGACCGATCTTTGCCGCCCACGTGCCAACCGAGTCGCTAGCAAACTGGGGAGTGATTCGCTTGTCATCGGCGACGAAGAGGCGTTTCGGTCGCCAAAAGGTCTTTGTGAGTTCAGAGTCGTAGATTGCAGCGAACTCGCTAGTCCCGGCTGTATCGTAGAAGATGGTTTCCATCGCGGTGCCAATGTTTTCGTAGACAAGCACGCAGTAGCGACGATCGCTAGGGGTGCCGTAGGTGCTGTAGTCCTGAACGATGCCACTGATATTGGTCGCAGGGTGGAAATCTTGAGGGTTCGTAATGCCGCATTGCTGGCTCCATCTCCCAACGTTTGCCCTTTCCATGACTGCAGCAAAGACGGCACCGGTAGCCGGCCCCGAAGCCGAGACATGAGTTGGAACATAGCCTTTGGACTTCCACGAGACTATCCAAGTCCGGTAGCCATCTAGATCCGTGCCGGAAATCGTTACTTGGTCAGTGCCCTCCCGCTTTACCCACACTGCGGCGTATTTGTTATCAGGAGGGCTCCCATAAGAGCTGAGAGAAATTATACGGTAGCCAGAGGCCTTGAACGCCTGGGCATTGGCCGCATAAGTGGCGCTGTCGAGATTGAAGCGAGCCTGGACTGGTGGTAGTGGTGTAGCGGCAGCGAGTGAGATGGAGTATAGGCCGCAAAGGCTGAAGAGGGCAAGGACTGCGCGGAAATACATGATGATGTGCAAAGCAGCCCAAAGGCTAGCAAAAGACCAAGTTTAGACAGCAGGGCACGGCCAGTAAGATATTCTGGGATGAGCCGTGCAACAAGTGTTTAAACTGCCGGTGGATCCTACGCTTGTACATTGCTTTGCTCATGTACGAAGTATTAGCTGTTGGTGATGATACAGTGGGGTATCAAAGGTCTCAAGCCACCCTGTAGTATGCCACCTTGAATCTTTTTAGTGAATTATAGTGGAAAATACAGTAAGGCTAATTCTATCTTTTTCATTTTCTTTTTTTACTTCTCTTTTACTATATATTTCGCTGCTACTTTGAGTTAAAAATTAAAATAAAACCTCTACTGGTATATAAAAGGAAGTTCTATAACTATAAAAGTAAAAAATATAGCGAGCCGGGAGTCCCGACACCCTTAATTAGTGTTCGGGGTAGCCGATTAGCGAACATACCAGTCATTTCAGTAACCACCGCTTGATAATCTTATTTAGATTACGCATGAGTTGTTTCGCCCGAATCGAGTAAAGGTTCCGCGGGCGAAGCAGCACTTGAAATACCATTCAAGGAAGCAGATCAATCCCTACATCGGTAGCGGTTAACAGGCAGACACATTGCGGGTCTGCCCACGGGCCCCCGAAGTACCGCACTGCAACTAACATTAATTATATTAAAATAATAGATATATTTAGATATTCTAATTAGTTAATCTAGTTAATATAGGTCTACTACATCCTCTGCGTTTTTTTAGGGTTAACTAGACCACCTACCTACGCGTAATAACAGTAAGTTAATAACCTATTACTACTAACCTATTACTACTAACCTATTACTACTAACCTATTATTAACTATATTATTTATTACTAATTAACCCTTTACCTTATTATTATTATTTTCTTTATATTACTATAGTATTAGATATCCCTTTATTAACTACTAGTAAGGCTAACGTAATTAATATATTAGATAATAAAATTATAACTCTCTAAGTGCCTTTATTACCTAACTATAAGGATAATATAGTTAACTTTAACCTAGAGGACTTTTAAAAGAAGCTTAATAGTAAGAATATTCCTTTTACTAGCTTACCTACCTATTTAACTATTTACTTTATTAAGACTTACCTTATATATCCCTAAGACCTAGGCTAGCCTTATTATTATACTTAATAACCTTACTACCTACTATAAGTAATACTTTTATTTTACTAAGCCTATAGAGGTAGGTACTACTAAATTTAAATAAATATAGGCTTTTATTAGTAATTTCTTTAATTTAACTAAAGCTTAAGGCTATACCTCTAGTAGTACTACTACTACTTACTATTACTGCCTACTTTAGTTAACTAAAGCTAATAAGCCTTAAGGTAGTAAGGCTATAATAACTTATAATTATACTATATAAGTAGGCACTAATTACTTTATATATACTAAAGTTATTAAATAATAGATAAGTAACTTTACTATAATAGTAGTTATTTTATAAGTTAGCCTAGGCCCTTATAACTACTTACTTAAACGCCTTAATTAAATCTACCTACTATAGGGTATTAAAGACCTTACTACTAAGTAAGTTACCTTTAGTTATTTACTTACTAAAGTCTACTATATACTCTAAGGCTACTTTAGCTACTATAAGGCTATTAAGTAAACACTAGTAACTATAGGCAGCTATTAGCTTTTTTACTAGGCTATATATAACGTAGGCTACTACTAGCTAGCTATCTACTTTAACTTTTACCTTATTAGCTATAACTATTTATAGTACCTATAAGTTACTAAAGCTAAGGCTTATTACTATACCTATAACCTTTAATTTTAGTATTATATAGTCTAATATACTAATAAAGTAAGTAAAAGGCTTATATAGGCCTCTAAGGCTAGCCTTATATTATTATAATAATATAGCCTTTTTACTATAATAGATGCTATTTACTAGACTAACTAGCTTAGCTAGCTACTTTATATAGTTATAGTTAGAGATACTATAGGTAGCTAAATACTAGTTAGTTACTTTTTTACTAAAAAAGGTAATACTAATATTATTACTACTTACTTATATATATTAAAAGGCTAGGCTAACTAGTAGTTATATTACTTTTTTACTAATAATTTAGCTATTAAATAATACACTATATATAATACTTTTTATAGCCTTATAAATAGTAAGATAAAGGTATTATACTTCTTTTACTATATCTACTATAAAAGAACCTTTTACTATTATTTTATAAAACACTTAATTAGCCTATACTATATAATCTCTATATTAAAATATTACTATATAAGGCTAAGTTATTATAAATCTATTACTACTATAATAAAAAGTTTAATATATAAAGAAGCTACTTATATTAAAAATAACTAGCTACTAACACTTAACCTCTAGGCTAACTATACTTATAACTATTTACTACTACTACTTTAGGCTAAAATAACTAACTTACTTAAAGGCCTTTATAGCGTTATTAAGTATAGCTACTATTATATACTCTAGTAATTTAGCCTCTAAAGGTCTATTAAGTATATTAACTATATTAATAGTAAATACTTTACTACTACTAAGCTATACTTTATAAACTTTTATAGTAAAGTCCTTTATAAATAATAAGTCTTACCTTATCTTTTTTACCTACTTATACTTATATAAAAGTTAATTACTAGTAAACTTTATAAAGTAAAAGTAGCTACTACTAATAGTTTAGATTTATATTATAATATATAGGTAGGTAATAATAGGCTAGTATATAACTATAGCTTTTATAAGTAGTAGGTTTTACTTTACTAATATATCCTTTAATAGGCTATAACTAAGGATAATATTATAAGTACTTACTAGTAGTAATAAATATAAGGCTAAGGTAAAGCTAAGTATAAAATATATAAGGCTTATAAGGTATACTATATACTATATATAGTTAACTATAAAAGTATTCTTATCCCCTTTAGGCTTACTATTTAAAGCTATATAAAGGTTTTATTAAATTAATACTATTAATAAAAGAAGGCCTATTATAATAAGTAACCTAATTACTTTACTTAGTATATAATATAAGTAAAGAAGGCTATTATTTAGCTAATAAGTCTTATACTTAATAATTAGTAGTAAGGCACTTTAGTTAGCTATAATAGTTAATTTATACTTTTTAATATTATAGTAAGTAACCTAGTAAAAAATAAAAATATAAACCTTACTATTAATAAAAAGATAAATAGTAGTAATATAAAAGAGGAAAGAAATAATAGTTAATATAGTAGGTAGGTAAAGTGTTTATATATAGGTATAGATCTAGGTATATCTGTGCTAGCCCCCCTAGTATACCCCCTATACTGCCTTATTGGGTTTAATGCTGACTTCAGGAGAAATAGGTTGCTGCCAGGGCGAAAGTCCCTGAGGTACGCATGCGCACAGATGCCAGCCCCGCAATGTGTCTGCCTGTTAACTGCTACCCCTACATCAGCACTTCAATTTTGCATATGTGATTACACATGTAAGTGGACGTAAACATGGACGCCACGGGGAACAAGTACATTTGCTTGGCTTTAACTGTCTCTGCAACTCAGTCTTCGGATCCTGATAAGCTCCATGACTCATGTAGCTAATAGGCCATGGCATTGCCACTAAAGAAGGAGAGATAACAAGCTACGGGTCCCTGACTACTAATAGTACACGTTCTTTACAAGGTTTTGCTGCACCAAACGTTTATTACTGGGTTTCATGGTGGGGTTTTGAGTAACGCTGCTTGAGTAACTCTCACGGCTATTATGTAGCGGTTGGACCGCGTAGGACAGCCTCTAATACTGCGTAGTTGTTATAAGTGGCATGCAAAGTCAACAAGGTATCAAGGTAACCTAATTCTTTTTAAACAAGCGCCCAAAAGCGGTGGCTACAGGAATTTTCACTGCCACAACTTGCAGGAGAAGGCCAGCAAGATGTCTATCGCGATGCGGTGGTGGCGGCTCTCAATGCATGCAAGATTCTAGGTATGGAGCCCAGGAGGGGAACTTTGGAAGAAAGATCATTACCCCGATAGTTTATTAATTGCTGTTTGTTGTTCTGGTCATGCGGTACTAATTTTCTTCGCCTATAGCCAGGGCATTGCCGCGAGCGCGCACAGGGGCACCGCATGAGCCCGGAAATTTAATGATTAGCTTACTGGCCTCATTGATGTTGACCAATAGCTGAGCTACGTCTCGTTTGCAGCTAGGGACACTACTACTACGTACTCTGTTAAAATATATCATTTATACTTAAGCCACTACAGAGTCAAAGTCGTTACTAACTATATTTAACCCTACGCTATTCTTCCTGCTTCTACTTTACATTTCCACTGGCGACTATTATCTCTAGTCTTATTAATCTTTACCCATTAATTTACATTCTTAAATAAGATGTATTCTATACACTCACTGATTCTTTTCCTCTCGTTAATATGTAGCACGTTTGCTGCACCTATACCACCAACAACACCTTCGCCAGAAAACAACAACTTTATAACATGGAAACCACTTAGAGCTGGCGGTGGCATCTACAATGTCAAGTACTCAGAGCCTCTAGACCTTTACTATGTCTATACGCCTTACTACAAGAAATCTAAGTACCCAGTCACAGAACTACAGTTCCCAAAGGATAACAAGGAGGAGCTCAATATTATTCAAGCCTGGAATGCCTTGGAGCAACCCCACCCAAACGGCAGCCCACGGCTGCGGTTATCTGACATAATACAGGCTGTAGCTGAAGAGCAGGCACACGTAGATCTGGGTTTACTTAACTGGGTTCGCGTAGACTATGTTCTCAACAAGCAAACACTCAGTGTTATAGACGACTTCTTTGCCGATTGGAAAAAACTCAACAATAAACCGCATCCACCCACAGTTACCGTTAAACCATCCAGCTCGTTCTGGCCAGCCTTCAACAACACACCATTTGTAAAGGCAGTCAATTACGCGCTTGAAAAGAAGAATAGAATGGTAGTGTCTGTATCAATTATATCAATCAATCGCTACAAGAAGGACTTATTGTTCAGGGTAGGGCCAAAGCCACGCGGGCGCTAGTACTAGTAGATAGGTTAAATTTATTACAGGTTAAGCCGACAAGGCACATGTGCCTTGGCATGTGTGCTGTTATGGTGTCTGATAATTATAAACGCGAGCAAAGCTAGAAAGATCTTAATCCTGATCTATATGCTTCGTCATTTCCTGCTGCATCCTGCCGGTAGCAATTAAAACAATGCAGTATTTGTAACCCATGTCGTCAGATTAAACTTCCCATCATGGAAACCGTGACGCGGCTCACACGCGACGCCATCTCTATCCCTCGGCCCGAAATGGCTCCTCGAGACCAGGAGACGGGTCCAGTCCAACTGCTGCTAATAACAGAGGACCAAGCACTAAGGCCAGGTGCTAGGGGTATATAGTAAATACAATTTTGTAGGATGTATAGAAGCTGCCTCAACGATATAAAATAGTGTTATAGTAGGCTCTAGTTTATAAGTTCCTCTATACTATATATATACTATATAAACATTTAACCCTATGTCTTTATAACTATAGATAGTTGGTTAAGTCTATATAATAACGCTAAATGAGTTTATTCCTTTTGAGATAAAATTATTTACAACGGTTATATATTAAGGGCTATGTTTAATGGACTTATTATCTCTACCTGGATTTTATCTTAAAGACTGGGTCCTACTTAACTCTCTGTTAAGCCTCGCTTGTTAGGTTGCCCTACTAGGACAGGAGGCAATGATGCTATGTCGGTGGTAGATGGGATACATCCTTTACTACTTTGAGACACTGTCCAAAAGCCGTTGACTGCCTCTGTACTGTAGTGTATTTAGCTTGCTATCTACTTTTGTGCTTACGCTGGAAAAGAGCTTAGGTGTTTAGGTTAATAGCTGATTTCCCCTCTCTTATAGTGCTACTAGGGGATAGATCTAGCCTTTTTGTTGCCTAGGGAGAGGGTGCCTACTGCTCTAGCTAAAGGATAAGATAAGAAATAAGATTATATCCTAGCCTCTTGTAAATTCTTCTACTTTTATAAGCCTAGGAAAACAATCTTCTAATAATAGAAAGCCTACTAGAGATAAACATTTCCGCTAGTGCACTATTTCTTGCCTATGTTGCTGCCTAAGCAGTTAGCCTAGAGCTATCTAAGACTAACCCTCTAGAGTAAGCCTTTTCTTTGTATATAGCAATATTACTAGTATTACCAGTACTACTAGGCTTACTTAAAACTACTCTTTAGTCTATACTCTGACAGCTATTTTAAGTAATTAGTTATAGAGGTATCCCTCTTAGAGTTTAGTTAATAAGCATAAAGACAGTAATTTCTATAAATTTCTACTAATCTAACTTATATAATTCCTTACTAGCTGGTAGACGCATTGTGTTGTAGTCAGATCTGAAACAGCTGCTAGGAGGGCTGTGTCACTATCTTTTATTTATTTCTATTTTATATAAAATTATAGCACTTTCTTAAGGGGAATTAATAGGGGCGCACTGTTCTTATAGACACACTACTATTTGCTTTTCTAATTACTTTAAAAAAACAGTATATCCCTATAAAGACAGTAAAGGTAATTACACTAATATAGCTATTCTAACATAGAAAGGGGGACTTTTTATAGCTATAAAAAGGACCCCCCTATAGAGCCTATTTCTTACTGCCTTAATAGGCTACAATAGGCCACCTTAATAGGCTACCTTAATAGGCTACCTTAATGGGCTGCGATGGGCTGCTGCGATGGGCCGCTGCAATAGGCTACCTCTTGTAGGCCTAGTAGAATTTAGTTACACTAGAAATAATTTTTTAAACTAATCAGAAAAGGAAACAGTGTTACATCTATAAGACTGGTGCGTCTGTAATAACTCCTGGTGCATCTGTATTAATTACCTTTATAAGATATCCTGGTTTTTAAACTAAAGTATTAAGTATTAAAAGTGTTAAATATACTAAAAGTAGATATAAAAGTAGTACCTCTTAGTCTCTAGTTAGCTGTAGGTTAATTATAGGGTAGTTTCCCTATAGATTCTTAGTGGTTTCCTCTGCTGCTAGGGGAGTATCCCCTGCTATAGTCTTGTAAATCTATATATATAGGACACATTAGATATTTATATTTATATTAAGTTAGTATAACTGACTAATTCACTATCACTTTAAACACCCTTGTACATAACAAAATTTAGGCAAGGAGGTAGTATATAATAATTTCTTTTTTTTCTTTTCTAAATATATATTTAATTAAGCTCTGCTAGCATAGGCTAGAGGGTTTAAAATATATACCCTAAGAATTACCTACAATCTTATGTACTTTACATAGCAGCTACACACCTTCCACCTTTATATACCTCTAAGTTAAATAGCAAGATGAAGTTGTCCCTCTTTATCCTTATTACTACCGCTGTACTTAGAGCACACTCGCATTGTTGGTATGTTATCTGTAGACGTTATTAATTCCTCTCTAAGTTGACTAAGGTGCACCGTTGACTACAAATACAATGAGTACTATACAAAGAGAGCTTGCCGGAGGTATGGTAACTACTTCCTAGGCCAAAATAGCCCCGCCCAGTGCGCCAGGGGTCTCATTAGTCGTGCCGGAAAAGAAGATTGGAAGGAGGTAAGTTGTTACAGAAGTGCAAATGTTATAGGACTTCACTAATTTTCTTGATTAGAAATGTCATGCTGTTGGAGCCGATACAGGGCGATGTGCACACTGGTAAACTAAATATTATAATCTAAGTGACAAGGAATACAGCCCTATCTAGGCAAAGCAGGACAGAGGCGTTGCGCCAAGACGTAACTAAGGCTCTTTCACTTGAAGTCAGCACCGGATATTCATACCAATACGTCAGCTGACAATACTAACAAAGGGAGCTAGCATGCCTGCGCGTCTTTTGACCTGCCAGGAACTGCTTCCTTGGAAGGGGGAAGGAGAAGGGGCGGTACGGCTCGTGGCCGACGGGGCGCCTGTCAGGCGTAAGTCAGGCCGGGGGTTGTGTGGTGTCTGTTCTGAAGACCTATCTGTCTAGGGCTGCTGTCTATACCCTGTTCGCAGTCATGCTGTAATTGTGTGTGTATGTGGTACTATTGTTGGTATGGGAGACCATCGTGATTGCAGGCGGGTTTGTGTGTGCCTTGCCGCCCCCCCTGCGCTATGGGACTAGGGGATACATAAACCTACATACATAGTACAGACTTCAAGGTCACTAGCATCTAACATTAATCTACCCAGCCCTCCCCCTACAGATAGGCTAGCCGCATCATAGCCATACAAAGCATACAAACAGCATGGTTCATGGTTTATGATTCGTATAAATAGGCCTCCATCTGTAATATCTTTGTTTTTTCCCTAGAAGTACAGTACTGAGCTTCTTTAGAAGTAAGGATTCCTGTCTCAAGCATGGTGCACAGACGGCAACTCCGGAAAGGGGGGCGACGAGATTATCCCGTCCGCCCCATAAAAGATTAATTAACATCCTCGGGTTTCCCGTGTCAGCTCTATCCGTATAGCTAATATAGCCTATACGCATATTAGATAGGGGTAGACACCTCAGGCTTATTACATTCAAAACATGCTCTTATATAATATTAACGCAAACTATACTAAGTTATACTATAAAGCCTAATATATATCTCTTTAATGCTCGTAATTCAAATTTAAGTGTGTCTTTTACGTTCCAGCGTTTCTGTAGAGTATATGTATATATTATCAACCGCTAGCTACTTGCCTACTCACCTTAATCAACTCGCTAGCGCAAGCTTTCCTCCGCTACCCTCTAGTACACTCCTCTACCCTGTACAATGAAGTTTCGTCCCTTCATTCATGCCTTCGTTTGCTGGGCCCTTGCCCAAACAGTGGCATCGGCCAGGGTGGCAATTCTTCTCACAGACTCAAAGATGGACGATAAAGGTGCCGTTGCTGTGACGCTCCTCAAACGTGACGCCCAGGATGTCACGAAGCCTCAATATGATCGCGTCATTATGGTCTTCACGGCCGCGGCAGACCGCGTCAAAATTGCTCAGGGCATGGAAGATTATCTGGAGCGTGCCGCGAGACACAGTCCCGCTCTCCCAAGCGACTGGCGAAGCCGTACCACCTGGCTCCAGGCGGAATCCAACGTCCTGGGCGAAGCGGTACCACACGAAGGTTGGTACAGGCATCTTCCAAAACCTACATGGAATCTTCCTATCGCAACAGCCGATAGGGTCGCCGCGTCGGTTGCAAAGGCTGGCGGGGAGCCCTCTGTCGACATTTTCCAGATAGCGCCTTACGAGGACAGGGCCGTCTGGGAGCTCTTCAATAAGATACCCAACATCAACATTTACCACCTCTTCTACGGTTACAACTCCCGCCAAGGCGTCGCTAACGATCGATGGACCGCTGCGGAGAAGAAGGCCCTCTCCAAGAGGCAGGTTGAGTTCCACGCCACTCTCCAGCGACGACTACAGACCAAGCATCCCAGGGCTCGGTTGATCTTTACACAGAACCCCATCTCATTTGACGATCCGAGAGCCGGGTCTCAAGACCTGAACTGGTGCAGACGCTATTTCCCAGAAACAGATATCATGATGGCGCTCAGAGACCCATTCTGGACTAAACTAATCCTAAAGGCGAACACCTACGCCGACCGGGCGAGATTAAGAGGCGTACCTCACAACGAATATGACGATGCCTTCATGACCCGGGTCGTCAACGCTCGCCAGCAAGACAACTCGGAGCGAAAACACATTGCTACCATGCTGCGGAGCGCGGCCACGAGCAATACATTCAAGACGCAGTGGCCGAGGTGTAAGTGCCAAATGTTAAACTTATTGTTTGCCGGCGGTAGATTTGCTAGAGTTCTGATGCTGACTACTATATCGCAGCACATTATCGGGTGACCAACATCGGGATCCCCGAGTTCTCTGGAAAACCTTCCCCAACCCTAGAGCTTGGAGACGGGAACCATATAGCAGCCGTCTTGGAATATCTAGACAGCGAAGCCGGGCACTCTAGGGCCGGCAGTAGCGCAGTAGGAAAGCTCTTGCCAGCCATGTGCGACACTACTGAGGGGAATCCCGACTTGCCTCCTACTGTGAGGGTGGGAACTTCATCTGCGAGAGCGGATGAAGGCTGGGTTCTTACGGGATGCAATGTTGCAAAAGTCCGCACGTATATGGAGGGCCTTTTCAGGCACGGCAAAGGCCTGGAGCGGAGAAACAGGACGCATACATAAACGGAGAAATTATAGAAGTAATGAGCATAATCTCTAGTAGAGTATATATCATAAACTTATAACTTAATATAATATTAGTTCGTCAAAGTATACCTATATACTAAGCGCTTATATGTATATTAACCACTATACTTGTGTTCTAATATCCATTTCGACAGTTAAGGAGGTCAGTTTGTCTTTCTATAGCAACATAGGCCTCCAGAAGGTCCAACATTCTAGCCAGTTGCGCCTGCGCAAGTCTAGACAATAAGTACAGTAGGGTAGCAAAAGTCCAGCTAAATCCCCACCTTGCGTTGTAACTTTATACACATGTTAACATCTACCCCTCTATAATATCCCTTATTAATAAACCAAAATAGTAGATAAAACTACTAAAAAGTAGTTTTTACCTTATAAATAAACAAGGATTTAAGCTACCTAGGAATTAGGTGTTTCTTATAAGTAGATTACTAAAAAAGAAGGCTATTTACTATACTCTATATATAGTATTATTAAATATTATAAAATCTAGACCTCTAGTTAAAGTCTACCTTACTTTAGTTAGCCTTTTTTATTTATAAATCGGCATAAAAGATATATTTTTTAAGTTCTTAATAAATACCTTTTCTTGTTAGCCTAAAAGATTATTAAATATATTGTCTCTTGTGTTTAAAGTAGATATTAGTATAGTATTTTAAAAGTTATAATATTTAACACTATTATTCTTTATAATAGCTAAAGCTTACTCCCTAGATTACTTGAAAGTGTCTAGTCTTTATAAAACATTATATAAGAAAACCTTCTTTATATTTATAATAAGAATTAGGGTAATATCTATAGGTCTTAGTAACTACTAAACTAGTTACTAAGGCTCTAGTAGACCTACCCTACTATCTAGTTTTCTAGTAGTAGAGCCCTTATTATCTAGGCTCTATAAGCTTAAGTCTTATAATATACTAATACCTACTATTAAGCCTTACCTAGTTAAGTGTCTATAGCTATTATCTTATAATTCTTAAGCTTTTATTTCTCTTAAATAACTAGTATAAGTAAAATAAACTAAAATAATAATAAATATACTAATTACTTATTAATCTATTATTAATATATAGCTAATATAAATAAGTTATAGTTATTTATAGCTAAATACTTAATATACTTATTTAAAGGTAAAAACTAACTACTATTATTAAAAAAGTTTATATAAGGACTTAATTAAGAAGAAGTATAAGAAAGGTTACTATTATAAGGCCTAGATATACTAGACTTACTAGTAGTTAATAATAATACCTTTATTAATAAATAGTTATAAAGTAGTTAAAGTATTAGTATAATTATATAAAGCTAAAGGGTTTTAAATACTATATAAGTAATAATATTATACTTTTAAGAAACTATAAAGACTATAATTAAAAAACACTAAAAAGAATAAAAGTTTTATAAGTGCTTTTTATAAAAGCTTACTAACTAACTAGTATAGTAATCTAGTAAAAAGTAATATAAGAAAGCTTTATTTTATAACTATAGACTTCTAAAGGAAGAATTTATAAGTACTTAAGTAATAAATTAGCTTAATACTATAAAGGTAGCTAATAAGCTTTATTTAAAAAGTACTATAAAGTAATAAACTAAATAGACCTTATTAAAAGTAGCTTTATTATAATAAATATAAGAATATAACTATAAAAAAAGGCTTACTAAACCCTTAGTTAAAGATAACTTTTTAGTATTTATTTACTAAAAGTATATTAACCTAAAGGCCTAGGAGTAAGACTACTAGTAAAAGCTATAAAAAATATAAGTATATAGTAGCTAAACCTTTTTATAATACTTTACTAAGTAATAATAATATACTATAACCTTAGTACTAAAGATATAGAAGACTTAAAGGCTAAAATCTACTAGTATTTCTTTAGGTTACTTTACTTATTATAAAATAAGATAATTTAGTAAAAGGTGCTTATTATTTATATAAAGAATATAGTCTATAAAGCTAATTAACTATAGTTACTAAAGAACTAAAAATTTAGTAAAAGGTTATAGAAAAATAATAAGAAGTACTTTTTTACTACTAATAAGTACCTATAGAGGCCTTAGCCTAATATATATAGTAATATAGCTACTAAGGCTAGTATAGCTACTAAGGCTAATATAGCTACTATAATAAGGTTAGGTAGTATAGCCCTAGGAATTATATAGTAGTTAATCTAAGGGGTAGATTAATAGGTAGGCTACCTACCTATTAAAAAAGGGATTTATAGACTTAACAAGAGGTTAAAGTAAATAATTACTTATATATACTTATTACTATTAGCCTTAATACTCTATATAGAAATACACTAAGAAAGGGCAAGGCATCTACTACTTAATAAAGAAAAAAAAAATAGTAAAACATAGAAAAACTACCTACACTATAATAATGTCTAATAATAATAATATATATACTAATTAATAGGTCTAATAATTCTTAGACCTAATCTATAAAGATCTTAAAATAAAAGTATAAATTAATAAAGTAATTACAAAAAGAGTAAATCTTACTAAGTAAATAAAAGTATAGTAATAACTAGTAGTATATTTCTATATAAAGTAGTAAGGCTAATAATAATAAATATATATAAATACTTATCCCCTTTAACCCTTTATTAGGTTTATAAATCTTCTTTTAAATAAGTAAGTAGCCTTTTTATTAATTTATCCCTTAATTTAACTACTATATAATTTATAGGACTATACTACTTAACCTTATTATAATTATCCCTTAGACCTATTACCTTATCCTTAAGTAAAAGGCTTAACTAATTATTAGACCTAATAGCTAAAAAAAACACCTAAAGAAATAAAAAGAATTAAAGAATTTAGTACTTATAGTAGCACTTAAGTTACTTTAGTAGCTCTAGACCTTTCTTTACCTTTACCTTTATAATAATATTACTATATCTAAGTTTATAGCCTCTTATACTATAAGAGGTCTATAAAGCCTTCTTGTTAACTTAGTCTTATTTAAGTCCTTAATATTATTAAAACTAGCCCTCTTAGGAAGGTAAATATAAAAAGCTATAATAATATATATAATTAAGAGTATTAGCTTTAGTCTATTTTTATTAGTTAATATACTAATTTATAAAGGATTCTTAAGAGTAATAGTATATATCTAGGTTATTATATAAAGCTAGATATAGTAGGTAATAAAGGATAGTTAGGCTCTTATTAACTTTAAGGTTTTATACTTAGGCCTTAAGGTTCTTATTATCTAGAAGTCTAGGTAGTATATCTAATAATAAAAGATCCTCTTTATTATTCTAAGTTTAGGTCTATAAATTATTAACTAGACTTACTTAACTAGTTACTATAGGTAATATTAAAAAAAGATTATTATAAAATTTATACTTTAAGTATATAATAATATATAAAGAAAGATTTTTATATATATTATTATACTTATAAAAGTCCTTTAAAATAGTAGATATAACTTATAAGGTAATAAGGACTTATCTAGGTTTTATATAGTTCTTATTAAATTAGCTTATTTATAAGAATTTAAGAGATAATATACCTAAGTAAAAAAAGGTCTTAGTTTACTTTACTACCTAAAGACTATAAGTAAAGGTATTATTTTATTACTATATATTAACTATATATATACTTATTTTCATAATACTAAGAAGTTCTATAAGTATACTTAAATAGTAATACTATTACTAAAGTAATTTAATTATATTTATAAATAATAAACTATAAATAAAGGTCTAACTAGAATCTATAAAATAAACCTTACTATTAATCTAGTTAACTAAAACTAAAGCCTAGTGCTACCTTTAGTAATTAAAAAGAAAGATAAGAATATTAATGTTTATAATATTAAAACTAAGTAGAAAATTAATATACAAGGCAGTAGGATAACTAGTATATATATAACTAATCTAAATAACCCTGCCTAAAGGCCTTGTTGCTAGTGTACCCTAAGCGCCTATAATTACAAAGGTAACTTACTAACCTTTATCTAAAAAGATAATAATAATAATTAATAGACCTTAGTCTAATTAAGGCTAAGGTATATTAATTAGATATATATTATTAATTAGTAGCTAAACTTAATTAGTAATACTATTATTACTAAGTAGTATAGAACTATATACAAGAGGTCTTAATGTTTAGTTATATAGTTATATAGAGGGCATAAAGCTTAACTAGGCTAAAAAGGCCTAATTAGGTATATAAGATTAAAATAATATCTAGAATTAGTTATATTACTATTAAAATAAAGTTATAATTAAAGGTAAAAGTTAACTTATAAGTGTTAAATTCTATATTCTATTTATCTTCTTACTCTTAATAAGTATTTAATATTTTAATTAGGATAATTAAGGCCCTATAGGCTAAAAAAACACTTATAAAAACTACTTAAAGAAAAACCTAAAATCTTACCTTATTCTAATTATCCCTTATTCTTTTTTTCTTATATCTTATATCTAGTAAAAATAAAAGAATATAAAAATCCTTGGGGGTAGTAATATAACTATTAAGTTCTTTAAATCTCTCTCTAATATTCTTTTTTTCTTAATTAGGTTAATTTTACTTACTTATAGTAGTATAAGCTATAACTTAATATACTAGGCTAATTCTATTCTTTCTCTTATTCTACCTCTTATTATACCTTATTATAGGCCTAGTCCTAGACTAGTCCTTGTTTATATTAAGTATAGCCTTCTTAGCTAAAGGCTATAGTAAGAAGTAAAAATAAGGTCTAGGGCTTTATTTCCTTTACTACTAGTTTATAAAGGCTAAGGAATATACTAATATAGTTATTTTTACTATAATAAAGAATACTTTTTAACTTTTATTTCTTTAGTATAGTCCTTTAGCTTTCTATATTTACTAAGGTAATAGCTAAAGTATATTATTATTCTTTTACCTTTTAATATATTATTTATACTATATTAGTTAAGGTCTTAAAGATCTTAAGGTCCTTAAGTACTTATAGTTAAAGCTACTTTATTTATTTCTCCTTAGGGCTACTTAGAGGTCTTTTTAGTGCCTAATTAAATAAAGGTAGTATACTTTTAGACCTTCTAATCTAGAGGTTAATAGCCTAGGCTTACTTTACTAATATTATCTAGACTTATTTCTAATTCTACTAATTAACTATTACTAGGGCTTACTTAATATCTTTAATCTTTACTATAGTCCCTTAACTTTCTTACTAAGAGTATAACCTCTTAAATATACTAATTAGGTCTATAGTAGCTTTATTATAGTATTTAGGTAACTAAGAGCTAGCTAAAAGAGATAAGAACTTTAGTAGTAAAGATATTATTTACTAAGGCTTTAGTAAGGATTCTTTTTACCTTAGGCACTAAAGGGAGAACTATTTAAATAATAGGTTTTAAGAGCTATTAACTTAATTAAGTTAAAAGATATTAGCTTTTAGCTCTAGAGGTAGCTATAGAAATAGTTTCTTAAGTTAGGTCTTTAGCTATAAATAAAAAGTAGTATTATTAAAGGCTAGTATATTCTCTAGGTCTCTTATATTAACCTTAAGTTTAACTTTATTAACTTTTTATAGCCTAATTAGCTTGTTTTACTTATAGTTAATAAGATTATATATATTCTCTAGAGTTCTAAAAATAAAATATTCTAGAAGTAGTATTAGCCTAAATAGTAATAAGATTATCTTTTATTTAGGGGTAGGCTTAGATAGTTTTAGGGGTTTAACCTTAATAGTGTTATTCTAATTAAGGCTAAGGCTTCTT